GCAATATTTTTATGACTAAAATATTGAGTTAGCTATTTTTAAAAATCGGCTCAAATCGAACCATTTCACAACATTATATCATGGTTTTATTCGTTCAAATTTTTATAATCGGAAATATCAGATTTCAATGAACAAAGTATAAAAAAACCAGGTTATTTTGGTAAAATAAAAAATTCTATGTAAGTTTTCTCTTGCTAAGATGTGAAAATTGAAAAAAAAATTTTATGGATTAAAATTTTTTTTAATAAAATGTAAGAAATAAAATATATTACTTTTAATAATTATATATTTTTTTAGTTATATAATTATGTTGTATTTTATATTACATATTTTCGATCATATAATATGGTTACCTGACACCGAGACAATTTCGAAAGTAATAGCTAACAAGTACATAAATGCCAGAATCGCCATTTTTGAGTAAAAAGTATTTTGTTCACCCGATTTATCATCAACCTTTCCAAAATGGGGCATAATTTTTAAAAATGTCATTTTAAAGATATAAAATTTCTAATTTTATTTTTTTTCAAATGGAAAATTAATTAAACAAGGCGCAATTGTCCTTGGTAAAGTCCTACACCTTTGATAAATAATAATATATACTAATTTTACACACAATATATTTATTGTTAAATAGCAAAAATAGTTTTTTTTTATAAAAATGTAAATACACCCTTTTACTTCATTTCATTTTTATGGGCAAATATTTATTCAATTTTTATAAAATAATAAAGATAATGGGGAAAAAGAAAATGATTATTTTTTGGCTGAATTTGGTAGAAATCTTTCGTCAACCGGATTTTTTTATGAAAGAACCAGCCTATTCTCCCTAATAATTTTTTAAGGTAAATCATATCCTACTTGATTCGAAAATAAAATTGGCTATATTATACCCAAAATATTATATAAATCAATATAATCATATTTTTGAAAAATAAAAAATATTAATTAAATTTAAAGTAATTAAAAATTTGGGATGAGGCTCAATGAAGCCTGTTTAATTAGCCGTGTGAATTCTTATGATTAGCTTTAGCCTCAAGCAGGAGGCCTTCGCGGGGTTTATCGGCAATAGTGTTGTTAAAAAACCCGATTTTTGTCAATTTTTAAAAACGCCCCAATTAAGAATTTATCCAAAATAATATTATGTAAGCTCAAGATTTGGCAAATAGCTGTTTAAACTTTTCTGCCGCCATCTATGAGCAAAATCGTCAGGATTACATAATATTATATTGGTTTTAATCCTAATCTGGCTATTTTTAAAAACGGACCCGATCGGAGTTTTTTAACAATACTAATCGACGAGTTTGCAGGTAAGGGCTTAGTTCCTTAAAGAGCGACAGGACGAGATAACCTTTTGTTAGGGGGGGGGGGGTAGTAGAAATTATCGGGAGAGATATGTGATCACGTAAAATTTGCATGGATGTTGAGGGTTTAGTTGGAGTGAGCTAATGGGTAGATGATACAAAAATAATTATATATCTAAAATGTTCAGAAGATTTAAGATAGTGGTTATTTATGCCGATCTCAGAGGCAGAAGAATGATCGATAAATCCAAAACTGTATCTAATTATTCTGATCTCAGGAAATAACCCCTACCCTATTATAATTTTATCTTGTAAAGTATTTTTCATCTAATTATTATTTAAAACTTTACGCCTATCACTTTATTACAGACATATAAATTATTATTTTTAAATAAATTTTTCACCATTTTTCACCTAAAAATTATATTTTACATTAGTGTTGTTAAACGACTCGATTTGAGCTAATTTTTAAAAACTGCTAACTTAATATTCTAGAAAACATTACGCAAGCCTGAAGATATGCTCATAGTTGGTACAAAGGTTTGGACTAAGGTTTTTGGGCGGGTTTTTCGTTTTTGAATGGGTATGGTTGGTTTTCTTTGAATATTTTCAACATTGGGTGGGTGGTGGAACGTTGAAAAAAATTTTAAGTAATGGACGGGTGTGGGCTGGTAAATTTTTGATATTTTTTAGGTGAAATGAGCAGAACAGACTTCAATTTAATTAAAATAATTGTTTTATTTCATAATATTGCATATTAAAGATGTTTAATTAAAAATACATTTAAATAAATAATGAGCCAAACCAGCCATTAAAATAATTTTTAAACATTAGGTGGGCGGGTTAAACAAAATTTATAGATAAATGGGCGGGCGGGCAAATTTTTAAAAAAAATTATAAATGAGCAGGTGGAAGGGTTAAATAATTTTCAAAACAACGAGTGGGCAGGCTTTTTGGCTAAAAACCCGCCCATTACAGACCTTTAGTTTGGACATGTATTAGCAAAATCTTGGATTCTTACTTTTTATATAATTTAAAAAAATGCTTGAAATTTTAGTGATCACTCAAAAAAGTGTTTAGGTATTAACTATCAAATGAACAAATTTTTTCTGAAAAAGGGAAAAAAAATTAAAAATTACAAGTCCAACTCTAGTCAAATTTTAAAAATAGGTAAATTAAACCGTTTAAAATATGTTAGATAAAATTATTACATGGGTAACTCGTTTATAAAATAAAATAAATCATTACAAGTGTATCCCTTATTATTATTTCAATCGATTCATTTATAATGCATGATGCTTTCATATTTAATTTTCTTAAAAAAAATCTCATGAATATCGTAATTTTGTTTTTATTCACTTTTTTAAATTTTCTCGTGAGTAATCAGAATATTCTCTTACTAAATTTAATTTTCTTTAAAAATATATATTTAATATATTATTTCAAAATGAATAAAGAGTATATAGTGAAAAAAAAATTAAAATGCATTTATTATAAATTGAATGAAAACCCGTTTTATTTGTCATAGATATTTTGGCACTATTTTTGAGTTTGATTTTATTATTTATCAAAATTATGAACCTATATTATATTGAATAATAGACTTAACAACTGTTGGGCAAAATATTTTTTTGGACGAAATTTTTATTTTCAATAACCGTCATTTTTGGCTGATGCATAATAAAATCAGAAATAATGGGCGGGCTTATGAAAGCCATTGGTGAGTGGGTGGGTAAATGTACGAGCATACTCGTAGGTTAGAACACTCCCATTGCAGACCTTGATTGCTTTCAGAAATAAACCACGCAAGTTCTTCCTGGATAATTTAATTTGAACTCAGGTCTATAAAGTATCATTTTGTTTGAATTATATTATAACCATAGTTAGTAGGATCGATCCAACCAAAAAAAAATTAAAAAACCTTTTATTTAAACTCGAAAAACCGTGAATTTTAATATAATCCGTTTCAATTAACCATTCTCAGTGCTGATAATTTAAATAAATTACTATTTTATTCTATCTCGATTAGTGTATTTGATTATGACGTAAACGCTTCTTCCTACTCATTTTTCTAATCAAACCGTTCTCCTTTTTTCAATAATTCATACAATGCTGCCGCCGCTATTTTCCCAAAATTCTCCACTGCATGAATTAGGCAAGGCAGAGTCGAGCTAGAAAATGTTATTAGAAAAATTCTAAAGAAAAAAATAAAATAATATTTTTTTGTGTTATAAATAAATTGCTTGTTATAATTTTTCTGTAACGCACTTAATGGCTCTTGCTTTAATTAATTTTATAAAAATCCGTTTAATTTATATATTTTTTATATATTTCAGTCCAGCTTATGTCTAATAAATTCTATTGCAGGCCGAACTCCGACAAGAACCTCCGCGGAATTTTATCACAGATTAATGAGGCTAGAGAAAGTTATTTTATCAAGGAAAGCATTTCCAAGTCTAAATTAAATTTATTTCTAAAAAAAAATAGAGTGATCATCTCATCTGCTTGATCCCAAGGAATCACAAATACTAGAGCAGCGTCTACATAACGGGATTTTCACTAAATGTGATCTCCTCAAAATCTTATGCCTACCACCCCAAAAAATTCCCGCCCCTGAAGGCGGCAATATTTTCACATTATAAATTATACCTTTTTAGTTATAATGGTACTCCCTTCAGTAATTTTAGAATGAATAACTTTAATTAATTAAGCTCTACTAACAGCTATCAAAATTATGAATATAAAAAAATTATTTTTTAGAACATGAATTTAATTAAAAACCCTCTAATTTACAATAATTCTATTATTATAGTGTATTGCTAATGTCTAACCCTTTTAAATCACAAAGGATAGCAGAAAGTTTATTTAGAAAATAATGACTAGATTTGGTCGATGATTAGCAATATCATTGTATTATAAAATGGTTCTATAATAAGTATTAATATTTACATCAATGTAATAAATTGCCGTATTTCATCTAAAAATTTAATAGATATCCCTCCAATAAATTTATCATTCCCCCTTAAAGGTAACTAACCCCTACCCCCCTCTATAAAAATTGGATGCATGTGCTAGGGTAATTTTATGATAAAATAAATAAGTGATGACAAATTAAATTTTTAAGAATTGACTAACCTTAGAAATCTAAATTTATATTTGGGTGGGCAAAATTAACATTAGTGTCTTCAATTATATTTTTAAAAAAAATAAAGACTTATATTATCTACTATTTTGTAAGTTATAAATAAAGAATATCGCTGAGAAATCTCTTCCACTCCACCCCCAGTAGCCAACGGGACAAAATTAAAACAATTTTAATATAACTCTATGGTATAATATTCCAGTATAAAATGCAATTCAATCTATCTTTAATATTATTATGACTGGTAATTGGATTTCTTTAGCTTTATCTTAATATGGTTTTGGTCGATTAGCCAGCGAATAATTAACTACATCTGACTTGATATATATCGCCATCAATTTAATATAAAACTTGGGTAAAGTCAAATAAAATCGTTATGAGAAAAGAGTAAGATTTAGAATTAAAATTATTTTTGCTAGAATATACTTAAAACCCGAATATGAACTGCCATTAGATTTATATTTCTTAAGGTCATCCATTCAATTTATATTTTTTCAGTATGCTTATTTTTAAATCCGGTAATGTAAAGTAAGGTGATTATTGCATCAGTCCATACCATATGTATTGATTTTTTTTCCAAATGAATTTGCTTCATAAAGATAAATCCGATGAAAGACAAGCTTTAGTCAATGTAATATGAAATAAACATCTTCTATAATATATTGTTTATATTATTATGTAGGAAGTTGAAGAAGAAAATGAGGAGAATCATTCCTCCAAAAAAACAAAAAATAATCTTGTGTATGTAAGTTTTAATTTTATAAACTCAATTGTTGGTTCAGGCATAATTGGTATATTATAAATATAAAATTTTATTTAATATTGAAAATCAGGCATGCCATATGCAATTAAAAAATCTGGAATTGGGTTGGGTATTATATTCTTGTTATTGGTAGCTTTTAGCTCAGGTATTTTTTTTTTAAATAATTTCTATATAAATCTACGCCTAGATTATAGTTTGGTTTTATTAGTCAAAGGTGGGCAATTGGCAGGAACTTCTAACTATCAAGTACATTTTTTAAATATATAATCTCCAATTTGTTTATATTTAGGACCTAGTATTATCTTCATTTGGAAAAATTGGCTTCTTTATTTTGTCAATTATACAGTTTATATATCCATTTATTGGTATTTAAATATTTTTTATTTTTATTAATTTATTTTAGCTATAATTAGTTATAATGTCATAATTGGGGACACTATACCTAAAGTTCTAAGAAGATTAGCCCATGGTTTTATTTTAAGGAAATTAATGTTATTTTTATTTTTATAGTTGAAAATGATAATATTCTAGGGAACCGATATTTTATTGTTTTCCTGGCTTCTGTTCTTGTGACTTTGCCATTATCTTTATCAAAAGATATTGGAAGACTTGCAAAGGTTTGTAATATATATATTATAGTAAATAACAATTATTATGAAAAAGATATCCCTCGCTTCATTATGCTGTGTGCTATTTTTATTAATTGTTATAATCTCAAGAGCTATCACTCTCTCACCATCAATGTAAAATAAAATGATTTTTTAATTTATTTTTTAATGATTAGTCCAGCTACAAAAGATGCTTGGATCTTTGCAAATAATGGAATCATTGAATCTTTAGGAATAATGGTGTTTGGTAATATTATAAAATATAAATTGAATTTTAAAGAGCAACATATTTATTAAAAAAAATATTCAAAAATGACTACAAAAATTATAATTATTTGATTCAAGTTGTTTTTCTTAGGCTTTTGTTAGATAATCAAATATCTGAGAAAAATAACATTGAAAGGAGATTTATAAATATATTACAAAAATAAATTAAAATGACATAAAGTTTTAAGAATAATAGAGAACATTTTGATTTACAATTAGGTTAGAAACTTTTATAGACTTCTTGCATGACCCCTAAAAATATTTTGCATGAGGTGCACAGCCCATTAAAATGTTTGTTGGTTAGTAATAATTGGTAATACCAATTAAGATCCTATTTATTTTTTTTCTTTAAATTACATTTCTTTCTTGAAGGTAGTCCATTTATCACTTATGATGTAAGGCTGCAAATCTCTAGTTTTTTTGGACAATAATATGTTCCATGTTTGGGTTTATAAACGTCAATCAAAATTAAAGTTATCAATAAATGATATTTTAAACAGATTGAATATTAAAAGGTTAATCAAGATTTAGGTTTATTTGTTCTAACTTAAATTTTTTTTTCTTAAATATGAAAATTTATAATTACATATATTATATCAAAAGTAAACTTTTCAAAAATATTGTTGAAACTTTGAAAAAATATACAATATATCTAGCACTAGCTGAATTTTAAAAATATTAAAATATTTTTTTTCTACTTTTGGACATATCTAGATAACAAGAAAAAATATTTTTAAAAAATTAAAGAGGTGCAAAAATAAAATCTGCCACTTTGTAAAAAAAATATATAATATCGGGTCAGCTTGGGTTTTAAGCCACATTCATAGTGACCTCTGATCCAACATGATTTAACTAACCGATTTTTAAAATCTGTTTATGAGATCAATTTCTTTATTAAGATCAATAATTCTTATAGTTAATTACCATAAAAGCTATTCTAGACTCTTTCTACTCTATTTTTTCTTTTTTATACCATCCCGGTCTTCATTGTTATTCTTCTTCTTAAGATATAATATTCCTTTTGACCTATTTTAATATAGTCTTTATTTGTATGTTCATATATTCATATTTTCCTTTTTTTTAAATAAATATTTTGTATGTAAAGTAAAATTAATATTTTAAAACCAAAAATTAATATCAATAAACAGATTTAAAAATTTATCCACCATTTAATCGTTTCAGATCGGATCCCACTCTCTGAATCCAGCTGAATAGAATTTGCACTTTTTTAAATTTGTAATCTAATATTTTTAATAATTTAAATTCGATCAGTATTCAATGTTTAAAAGATATTGAACTCATAATATGAAATTATTAAATCTTTTGGACAGGTATTAAAATTTAAATTTTATAACAGAAATAAAATATAATAATCATCTATATAAATTATTTTTACCCATTGCTACATTAAGATAATATAAATATAGTTATGTATGATAATGTTTTAATAAATAAAAATTACTTTCATACAACTTATTATATTTACAGAAACTTATTATTAGAATACTTTTAAGGCTATTGAATATTTTCGTTTACTGGCTTATAAAACGATTTTAAAGAAGGAAAGATACATAAATAAAATAAATGGAAACATAGAACGAACCTAATCACTTTATACTAATTATTATTTATATTTGGGTAATCGCTAAATTACCGGTGCATGCCTGAGAAAAACCTTTAACAATAAGGTGGAATTTTAATTCATAATAGTTTCTTTTAAATTTGAATTACTGTATTTTTAAGAAAAACCCCGAAACCAAAGTAATTATTTTCGGCAAGCAACTCGGGTTAGCCGATTTTTTAGTCGGCTAAAAATTGACTTAAACGGCTAAAAATTACCAAACTATATTATTATACTATCGGTTATAAACTAATTTTTGCTCTTTAGATATTGGCAATAAAAAAAAATACTTTAAGTTGAACAGCAAATTTTATGCTGTTAAAATTTTTATATGAAAAGATATTAAATCTATATTTAAATAGATTTTTTAAATGTTGATTTTTTGGGCTAAGGAATCATTTAAGGTTATTAGTTAAATTTTTTATATAAAGAATCAATTAAATTTTTAAATATTAAGCCTCATTTAAAAGCTAGAATTATGTTTTTATTTAACGTTTGAAAGTTAGCGGTGCACGAGCAATCGCAAATAAGTGGATGAGTGAAAAAAATTTTAACAAAATATATATTCACGAGGAAAAGAAAATGTATATCATTATAAAATATCTTTTGACCAATTTATATAATTTGCAACATATATTTAAAAAACATATTTTACTGTACGATCTAATATTTAAAGTTAACTTCCTATTTAAACATTATTATTTTAGAAGATTTCTTATATCATTTTGAAGATAGAATGTTTTAAAAAATATATGATGACCACAATTTAGGTCTCGATTATGACTAAATAAATATTTGAAATTTTTTTTATTAATTAAAATAAATATATATTCAAGCTTTCATGTGTCATCACAATTCGTTTTTGCTTTACGATTCTCTGGACAACCCTACTCAATCTAGATGGAACTTAGTCACACATTTTAGCGTCTTTATATCGGCGTTGGTCACTCTCATGTTTGGCGTGATTGGTTATGTCATATTTACGGGATACACCGAAGGTTAAAACATTTTATCTTTTAATTATTAATGTATTTTTTTTAGGAGATATATTAGAAAATTTTTGTAAAGACGATGATCTTATCAATATCACGAGATTTATATATACGGTGACTATTATGTTAACTTATCCAATCGAATGTTTCGTGTGTCGCGAGGTTAACTACAACTTTTCATAAATTTTTTCAATTTTTATTTATAAAGTTGGTTTAATTTAAGGCCACGTCCAAACTAGATTACTTATAAAAATTTACTGCTAGATTACTCAAACTATCGATCAAATTGAAATGGGGCATGTAATTTTATTTTCTAAAAATAAGAGTTTTTTTAAAAAAAGAGCTTTCATAAATAGCTATTTTTATTTTTACATCTAAAAAATTTGAAAAGCGGTAATCATGATTGGCATTGACACTTGTATTTAAATGAATTAGGAGAAAAACAAAAATTGAAAATAGCTTTAAATAAAACTTAGATCGTGTTCTGGTTCGTTTTATTTTTGAAACTATTTCTGTTTATCTCAGGCTAAACCGATTTTGAATTAGGAAACCCTATTATTGGTTTGTTTTAATTGTATACATTAAATGATTATTTTTGGTTTGTAAAGAGTTACAAATATGCGTTACGTACGTAAATTTGAATACCTTATTGTATCTTTGTTTAGAGAAAGATAAGCGCCATAAACTATCTGTTGTTTAGAAATAGTAAGACGTAACCTAAGAACTTTTAAAAAACATTTAGGGATGGCAGAATGGAAAACAAATATAAGGGGGTAAGGAATAGTTCAAATTTTAACAAAAAAAAAAAATCAAGCACCGATAAAGCCAAAGACGAGTAACACTTACCTAGACTGGCGATTCATTCATTAAAATGCTTTTTTTTGCATCCATATACATTTTAATGTAACATATTTATGTGGGAAACCAAAATGACTTGTCATTTGTAATGATACTTTTTTAAATGAGCGAATCATCAGTTTGATTAGTATTAGTATTTTATAATCTGGGTAAAACTTAGAAATTTATGAATAATATAAAATTTCTCGTTATAATTAATTTTACTTGCGTGAATTAGCCAGATCTTAAATGCAAATTTTTTTATTTAAAAATATAAAATGTATATAAAGGTCATCGAAAGAGTTTTATTTTCTTACAAAACCTTTTCTTTACAACGCCATATAACGATCACAGGTCTTATTGTCTTGTTCGCCTTGTTGATTTCATATAGCACGGATTGTTTGGGAATTGTCTTGGAAATTAACGTAAATTTTTTAGTTATATTTTTTAAAAATATAATAATAATTTCAATCACAGGGTGTCATAACCGCGACTCCTTTAGCTTTCATTTTACCGGCAATGTGTTACATCAAATTATACAGGCGATCAAGGTCCTTGAATAAAGATGTAAATATAATAACCTCCGAAGATACTAGCAACGATAGCTCAAGTGGTTCTAGTCTAATCTTTGCTTGGTGCACCTTGCTTTTTGGCGCTGCTATTTTAGTAGTGGGATTTATTTCCATAATTATTCATCTCTATAAAGGAGTTTTTTGCAGTCACGGGCATGAATTGTTTTATTGCTTAAAAAAATAAGCTTTGAGATAAAAACGAAAATTTTAAAAGTGCAATCTATCTATCATTTTTAATAGACGATTCTATTCGACTTTATTAATTATTCAATTTTGATAAAATTTTATCATATACCTCGATAAAAGCATAACATTCCTTAATTAATCTTATATTTAGGGTTTTATTTATAGTCGTAATCCTATGTGCAATTAACACCATAAATTATTTATAAATTAATATATCAGCAGTATTTTAAATTATATTCCCAATTAGAATTGTGAATTATGTTCGATGTCAATATTAAAATAAAATGTATTATTTTCTCGTCCCCAAAAATTTATTTGACATGAATTTTTTTTATAATTTGTTATTAAATTTGAATCATAATTCATCTAAAAAGATATTGGAAATGAGTATATAAGATCTGGAAAAGAAACAAGTGAACGACGCTTATTGTTTTGATTTTTTTTGCACTAATTAAGATAAATATTTATTTATTACGAGAAGAAACTACTGGCTATGGAAAAATTCGGGATTAGCCGACAACGCCCCAGACGCTTAAAAGACAATATTTTGTAAATAAGGAATTACGCTATATAATATTTTAATAACAGATAATAAAAAAAATCAATAACGTTTTAACGGTATTCATTACCATATTTTATAAGGATAATGTCATAGCACTGCTTTGATCAGTATATAGCGGTTAACTTAGCAACAACCAAATTTTATTAAACCATTTTATAATATACATTAGCTCTACCTCAATGACATTAATTATAACCTAAACTGACGGTTTATTTATTAAAAGAGTGCATGTATTGAAGTCAGTTGTAGCCACTGTCATTGATTGTAGTAGACTGCTAACTTCAATGTATGTACTCTTTTTAATGCATTTGAAGGTAATATATTACCTTGCCCCATATCTTTCCAGCTTGTTTTGTACCTTGCTCAAGGGGTTGGTTTTAGAAAATGGGTCCCACCAGGTATAGAATAAAAATTGAAATAGCTAGCTTCCTAAACCCAGATCTCTGCCACAATTGCTATTCAAAATACGATGATATTTTACATAATAATAAATTCATGTATTTGTTATTTTTTTTAGATAAATATTTATTTAAAAATTCTGCACAGCGGATGTTAGCCATTTTGTAAGTAGTTTCAATAACTGATGTATATAAAACGATTATCGCCATATCAAAAAAAAATTTTCAATAACTTAAACCTAAATATTTTTTAAAGAAAATATTACAATGCAGCAAACCAAACCTGAATTGTTAAACCGGCATTCAGTTTATATTTACCGAACCTTAACCTTCAAAAAAAATTTTGTAATCTAACAATGAAGCCAATCTCTCAAGATTGTGATAGCTACGCAAATTAGTTTAAAGAAATGTTCATATATATTCTTTGTCTTTCTCTTTATAAATTATTGTAAACAATGCTGAAGACACATACCAAAGGCTGACCTAGTCACCATTGCAATGCAACAAAACCATCAAATGGGCTTTAATTTCTGCAGATATTTTTTCTAAACTGGAGACTAATTGTTAGAATCGACAGAAAACTTCTAAACGGTATAACCTTAATTCTATGAACCTTGGGCTAATTCTTACTTTAACATTTTTTATGTACCGAACTTCTCCATTTGTTATAATAAAGACGTCCTCCGTAACTGAGCTGAGGTCTAATAAATACATCAATTCTAGTTCATACTATTCGTTCCTTTCATCTCGTAAATTAATTAAGAAGATTGGCAAGAGCATCATCAAAACAGATGAACCCAGCGCAAGTTACTACCACTTTCTATAAACATTATTTGATCAAATTATTTAGGCCTCATCTCTTCACCGGACGATGAGATCCATTAGTCTTTTTTATCTAGTTATAGTTACCTTTTCTCAATATGTTTTTATAGGGGTTTGTTAAATTTTGAGGTATTAGTATACTGTAGGACCTTTATTATATGAAGGTATAAATTATCATTATACAAATATATAACAAACATAAATGCTTAACTAAGCTTCAGATAATTCGAATTAAGTTATGTATTATTTTTATTCATAATCACCATTTACGAATAATATAATATCTATTTAAAACGAATTGAATATTCGCCTCGAATTCTATGACCTGTAATAGTTAGATTCTTTATTGATCCATTCAATCGTATGAAAAATATCAACTATGATAAAATACATTTATTTTATTTTTATATATATATATTTAATCATCAGAGAAAAATTATCGTAATTTCTAAATTTGTTTCACAAATATATGTATAATTATTTATACAAACGCTATTAAAATATAAGAATTTACACTAATTTAAAGTTTCGATTAAAAGTATAAATATTAATATATTAAAATATAGTTAATTATTTTGCAATATATTGTTTAAAAAAATATATGTAACACGTTAAAAAAGGTTATAAATTTAAAATGTATGCACACGCCTAATTTATTTTTTAGTATAATATATTATTTTACAAATTAAATTCAAAAAAAAGTAAATGTTAATATTAAATTATTTACAATTAGTGGATAAATTTATTGGAAAATAATATTGATTTAATACTTTATTAATTAAAGTTTAGTCTAAAACTTGTATATTCTATCTAAATAACTGTCGAAACTTGATATAAATTATATAAAATACTTAGTTAAATTTAAGTAATCACTTATCAAAAAAAATGAGATTTAGTCAAACATTATAGGATCACAATTTTGTTTAACAATGTAATTTTTCTTTGTTACTTATACACAAACCCTGTACTATTGAATGTATGCTAATACCTTTTAACTATTGGTTTAAAAAAGTTGAATAATTAATTTTAAACAATTATTTGCTTGCACAAAATGAATTAATAAAATTTGCGAAAGTTTAAAAAAAGAAGTATCAGTTCGATTATGAAACGCCTCCATAACCAAAGGACGAGGAAGAATTATTGCTTTGAGAGCCCACAGAATCTTCAGAAGAAAAAATTTCAGAGGTGGATGTCGAACTTACTTTATCGCTGCCACTGTTGCTAATTTCTCCATTCCTATCCATAACGGCGATCCTTTTGTTAACAATTTGAAAGTTTTTCACACCATTATTCGTTATAAAATTTGAGTTAACTAGTTTGTGATTGTTTTGATTTTGTTGTAACATGAGCGCCCTATTGGAGAGTAGAGTCTTGAACTGGAGGGTTGCCAAGGAAGTGGCCGGAATATTACGAGATGTGGTTGTAATGGGTCCTGAGTAGGGATATAGGCTACTTGGATTACTAAGATTTATTGATTTAGCATCGATTTCCGATTTAATAAGGGCGTCGTTATTGAGAACAAACGAGGATTGCATCGTTATTTTTTGTTGATTGAGTCTGTGTACAAAAAAAATAAAATGAGCGAAAACGTAATCATTTGATTTTAAATAAGAATATCATTTAAATGATTATAAATAAGAATATCAAAATTACAAAAATGGAAATTAAATTATTTGATAATTTATATATGAAAATTATAGGTGAGTCGAAAATACGTCGGTATAGGATTACAGTATTCATCACTTTTCTAATTTTTTTTAGAAAATATAAGTTAAGGTCTATTAATCCAAAATAAAAATTCTAAAAGGTGATATAGTTTCCTTGGGATCCCAAGGATTAAATTGTAATGTTTTTTTTCAATTTTAGGTATATTATTTCATATAAATAATACTAATAAGATTAGAAAAATCATTCATGTGATACCAATTAGATTGCGCCTATAAACGTCTCGGTTTACATTATTCTATATTTATTAAATTGGTTAAAATTTTTGAGGTACTGTTTAAAAATTAAAGAATTTAGGCTATAAATGTGATATTTCCTTTAGAAAATTTAGTTAGTTTTGTAATTTTACAAGGAAGAAAAAAGTATGAGAATGTAAGCAATTTTTTTGTAAATTATAAATATATCTCGGGAAATTCATATTTCTTCGAGAAAAGAAATGAAATAACCTTTCAAATACTCAGTCAATAAAAGTAGAAAACAGACCTTATTTTTATAAAAACTAATACGAAGTCTTATGCAAGTCTATAAATAAGTTTAAGACATCCCAAGAATGAAAAAAGGTGAACTTACGATGAATCTAATAATACTCGAGATAATCCCGAGTATTTTACTTAATATAAATTGTTTGTTATGCAAAGAAAAAGTAGATCTTAGATAGATGCTTTAAATTTTTTTCCTAAAATTTAAATAAATTCTTTTCCTAAAATTTAAATAAATTCTTTCAATGAGAAATTATTATTTTTTTATTATTGATGAAGAATTGTACTAAAAGTTTGTCTAATTTAATTTCAAAAATTTGAGATTATCTATCTCTAAAATTATTTTTTATGGGGGGGGGGGAGAGAAATTTTAAGAATAAATATTGGTTTTTGATTAAATTTATATTAAAATTCTTTTATTATAAAAAGATTATTAAATAACATCTTTTTTTGTTATCATTGTTTTAATGAGAATGTGTAAAGGAAAAACAGGATTATTATTATAATTATGAAAGTTTTGATATTTATTTCTATGAAATAAAATAGACCATTGTTTAAATTGTTAGTATATTGGAATTCTGCAAGTGGAACCCTATATTCCACAATTCATAAAATAAAACTAATAGTTCTCCAAAACAAAAAATATTGCCAATTCCAAACAGGAATTACTATATCCGTAATTTAATATTTTATATATTCAAGATGTTTTAAGTATATTTTAATGACATTTACTTTTCAAATCAGTCCAAATTGATTTTTAGGAAATTACCAGTAGAAATTAATTTTACAAGGACAATTTTAAGAAAAAATTCTGATTTTATGTGTGAACATTTAGAATAGAGGTCGGCCTGGCCCGTAATATTTTATATGAAGGAAGCAAACTAAATTTGTCTAATTATCAGCAAAAAATATCTTCAAGCTTCTGTTCGTCCAGCAGTAAAATTATTATGAACAATTTGTCTGGTCCAGTCCAAAGATTATTCTATTTCCAGAAGATATTTTGCAATTTAAAATTAAATTTTCTTGTTCTATCTCAAAATCTAACAAAATTTGATTTCGTCTGGAAAACTATAATTCCACTACTAATTACTTTCAGTGAGATCGTTTAAAATAAGAATAAAATTATATTCCTATCTCTTAACGTTTTGAAAATAAAATTACATTCCTATCTCTTAATGTTTTGAAAATAGAATGAGCATTTATAATAAAACACTCTCCTGTAAAATTTGAAAATAAGGAGATAGAATACTAGCAATTAGTGTTGTTAAACGGCTCGATTTAAGCCGATTTTTAAAAACGGCTAACTCAACATTATAGCCAAAAATATTACGTAAGCGTCGAGATTTCGCCAATAGATGTTCAATCTTATGTGCTATCTATGAGGAAAATCTTTAGGCTTGCATAATATTTCTCTGGATGAAATAATGATTTAGCCATTTTTAAAGATCGGCTCAAATCGGTTTAACAACACTACTTGCAATGCTATACCGACGAACTAAAACAGTGATAATTTCCTCTCCGATCAAAATATTTAGTAAGTTTGTGTCATTAATATTTTAAAAAATATACGGTAAAGCAAAAAATTAATGTAAATTTACTCGGGCATTCTATCATTGTTAGCGCATTTTTTTACGTTAAATTTTGATTCGTCGTCGGTTTGATCAAGTAAAGTTAAGGGATTAAATGTTAGTTGTTCGGACACGTTTTCGACCCCTGCCAAAGCTTTAAATATAAATTTTAAAAAAGGTTAGAAGGGTACTTCAAAATGATAATCCAATATGTTTTATTAAATGTTCATTTTTGGTGTCCTAGATAGTTAAAAAAAATTTAAAAAGCCAAAATTAAAATTTGTATGGAAAAAAAATGGTGAGGTTTACATCACAATATAGTAAATTTTCTTGTAGTATTGTTCACTATCGTGAAGAGAAGACACTTTAATTTGATCGAAATATAATTCTACCCTTTTAAATAGTCATTTGTGTTTAAAAATTATTTAAAATTTTGATTAACCTTTAACATAAGATTGCATAACTTTAGGTACCAGAGCTAGGGCCTTGGTAAGAGTTTGAGTGTCTATAATCTTCTCACCTATGTCGTCTAAACCCATGGTTAGATCCAACTTTTTCATTATTTGGAAATCTTCGATGACTTCAAAAGCATTGTTAAAGTTGAAATAATATTCGCATCTTAGAACAGTGTTTATTTATTGTTATTTTAAGAAAAAATATATAAATAAAACTTTGATATTCAAAAGCATTGTTAAAAAAGTTAAAATAACATTCGCATCTTAAAATAGTGTTTGTGTTTTTTAAGAAAAGATATATAAATAAAACTTTGTACTGATATGATATTTCTAGTGTTAGGAATTCTAAATGGTATAGTCAAATTGCAATCTTACTCTTATAGTGAAATAAGAATAAATCACTTTTTTTACAAACCACGGTCATGGGAAGAAACTTAATTATATATTTAAAACCTTGAGGATGGGCTAGTATTTCTAAATTCAGGTTGAAAAAGAAATATTTAATTTATTTATTATTTCTATAGTTTTTATAGTAATAACTCTTAGAATAGCTATTCTCATCCTGGTATGAGATGACGGAGCTTATATTATATTCAATTCGAACTTTAAGGTTATAAGATTATCGAGTCAAAAATTAAATCTTTATCAGATTAGCAATGCTTTAAAAAAAATAGTACATTACTTATCGTTAGATATGTTGCAATCAATAATGGTGGATTTATCGGTATTGATAAGGATAAATGGCAAAAATAACGAAGGTTGTGTGATTAGGGGCGAATTGCTGGGAAAAGAAGATTCTTGAATTTTAAGAGTTTTATTATTCGAAATGTGAACGGTTTTGTTACGTTCTATCAAGTTCTTTAGTGCTATTTGCTGTAAAAAAAAAATTAAGTTTGTAATAATATAATATTTTTATAAAAAAATATTTGCATTCCTTCTAAACTGATATTTTTTAAAAAATTTATAAAATAATCCTTATAACATAGATGTTATATAAATATAACTTTCTTAAGTCACACAATGATTAAAAAAATTCTAAAAATGAAAAATATTTAATCTAATATATTAATAACACTGTGTGACAAGAAAAATGGGAGAAGAAAATAAAAACAAGTTTTGGTGCAGAATTTGACGCTGAGTTCGAATCCGGTTTCCAAATTTTCCCTACACGTCAAGTTTTAAAAATATTACCGTATAAAGACAACTTTTCGAAATCTCAAAAATGGTAAAATTTAGGTCTTTATACGGATATATTTTAAAAAGTATCGAATAAAAATCCCTGAAAATTGGTGATAGTGTTAAACTTATATTTCTTTATAAATTTAACTATTTTTTATAATTTTTTATCGATTGGTTTTTGAGAAAAATGGTAAAGAATTTCGTTTTGGGGGTCTTAAGTTTTCAATTTAAATTACTATCAAAATTATTAACTTTAGAAGATAAATTTTATAGAATTTTGCTTCAAATATGCTCAAGATTATATATTAATTCTAATTATGTTTCAAAAGTACTCTATGCCATGAAAATTAAATCAAAATCTTTAAATTAAAAAAGTCGGTAAAGATATTTTCGAACTTTTTAATTTGTACACTTTTATTGAATTTTCTCTGCATAAAGCATTTTAAAGCAAAATTAAGGTAATATTTATCTTTTTTAGTTGTATTTAGTAATATTTTATGCATTTATGATCAATTTATACCAAAATCAGATATCTGTACCCACTTTTTTTAATTTGTACTCTTTTTGAATTGAGCATTTTTGAAGCAAAATTCATTTAAAATGCAATAATTGGTAATTTTTTCATATTTTTTATTAATATTTATCTTTTTTAGATGTATTTAAGAATATTTGTTTTTTTAATCAATTTATATCAAAATATATGATTTTCCAATGGAGTACCTTGAACCCGTAGTATGAGCAATAAATAATAATGCCAAATAACGAGTAGGAAGAAAGGAGAAGAATTATTTTTTTTCGCGCTTAATTTTTCATATTCGCGCTGAAAGCCACAATAAATAAATATATTACATGTAAACTATATTAAAAAAGATTTTATAAATAAAGGTAAATTTAAAAAATATAGGTTGTTTAAAAATTGAGTAAGGATTTTATAAAAAAAAATGTATAATAATAATAAGGAAGGTTTGCTGCAAAAATTAAGATATTTTTTTAGTTGTAGGGATCATTAGAACCGGAGTTATAAACCTTCAAAAAGTGCTAAAAATGATCTTTTTGGCCACTTTAACCTAAAACAAAAAAAACCTGACGTGCTAGAAAAAAACTGACAGCGGATTTAGCATATGCTTAAAAACTGTCTTAAAACATGTTTATTTTATTTTCTCCCAAAAAATCAAGTCGAAATTTGTCACACAGTGTAATTCTTTATAAACTTGTTATATATTTTTTTTAAATTTAAATTATATATTAATGCCAACTTTTAAAAGTAATTTATTGAGTTCGGATTGCTTCTCTTTTATCTGTTCGATCCTTCGTTCTTTTTCTTTCTAAAATAATGATATAAATATTTATTTCTGCCTTTTCTTGCTATATCATGAAAATTTTAAAGGATAGAAGGTATGGGATGCAGCCAAAGTCATGGTCCTCAAATAAAAGAGTAGTCCCTGCTGTAGTCCTAATTAAATAACCGATCTTTTAATTTTTCCTGTTACTTTAAAATATTTGTTATCTAATATTCTTGTTTTATCGTTTTATTAAATGAAGAAATATTTTATATTAACAAATAAAATCTGAACCATAATAAATAATACAAATACTTTAAATTGATAAACTTTTCGTTTTCATAGTATATTGCAAAATAACAATGAACCATAAAAAACTAAAGTAACTCCTCTAGAAATTTTATGAATTCAATAGTAAGGCAAACTTAAATTTAATAAAAGACCGGTCTAGACTTAAAAATAATTAAAAGACCGGTCTCGCGGTTCAAGATCGTACCGCACTAATGGTATGGATGGGTATAGATACATCTTTACAAATAATAAGAATAAATGGAATATTTAAAACCATCATATTGGAGCATTCTTGCATGGAATTGGTAGGTAATCCTATCCAGCGTATTTCTTTCTTCTCCTTTGATATGATGTTCATAGCCATCAGGACGTTTAAAGCGTCGTATACCCTTCTTCTAATATTTTTGTGGTCGTAAGCCGCCATGCTATTCAGGGTTGATTCTTGAGTCGAATTTTTAAAAGAAAAAAATTGTTAATTTATAGCTTTTTACCGAGTTATTATTTCAAACTTGTAAATTATCATATGAATAGATATTTCACATGCAAGTTTAACTTTGAATAAATGATTAATTATAATGATGAAAGACCTAACCATAATTATTTTATAATTGGCTAGAGTTGGTCTATAAGGAAATGACCAGAGTTCGTTTAATTTACGAGCCCCCCTCCCCATTCCAATAATGAAACATATGATAGCTATATGTCCCTTTATTTTACCCACTTTTGCTATTTATTATAGTTTAGAAGGTTAAGATGAGAATCGACACAATAACTAATTTATTAAGAAATGTGAAAGAATGTAATTATTAAGAAATGTGAAAGAATGTAATTATTAAGAAATGTGAAAGAATGTAATAAAACCTTATTTTTAAATATTAGAAAAAATGACAAATTAACGAAATTCAAAGAGTGACATGTCAAATGAAAGAATTAAATTTTAAAAAACAATATTTACAAAACAAAAATTTATACCTTAAAGTTATGGAAATCAATTATTTTATATTTCTCAATAAATCGAAACCATTTAAAATATCCTGGCCTGGGGAATACGAAGAATTGGAGTGGTGCTGATTGATGACGGATGAAAGAGCGAACTCAGCTACCAGTTCGTCCGCAACTTCGTTGTAAGTCGTCACGCCTTTTCGGTGCACCTTTTCGCATACCTTCATAGAGAAATGTCTCAAGCCTTTACCGGCCCGGTCCGTAGGAGTAGATCTGCGACCAGAACTATGGCCGTTTGTTATGTGGTGATTGTGATGAGGAGTTTCGTTTATGGTCGGTGAATAAAAATGCTGGGCCTCGAGTTTTCTAAAGGAGGATATAAATATTTTAGGAAATTTTAATATGAGATGTGATCAAAGGTATAATAAGTTGTTTGTTGTGTTGCAAAAACTATATTTTATTAATTATGTTACGGTTCACCCAATCATGTAGAATTCAAACCTTTATATTAGATTTGGGAGAGGGATAAATATAGGGTTTTCGGAATTTGTAGATGACTAAATTGCTCATCATCTTTAATAAATATATATATATAATGTCAATTTAATTTTTAAGTATGATGGGCAACCGAATACATTATTCAATTTTGGTAAAAATTAATTCAATAAATAAGTGTATGATAATATTAAATTTATAATTATAAATCTTTTCAGTTGAGATGTGATCAAAGGTATAATAAGTTGTTTGTTGTGTTGCAAAAACTATATTTTATTAATTATGTTACGGTTCACCCAATCATGTAGAATTCAAACCTTTATATTAGATTTGGGAGAGGGATAAATATAGGGTTTTCGGAATTTGTAGATGACTAAATTGCTCATCATCTTTAATAAATATATATATATAATGTCAATTTAATTTTTAAGTATGATGGGCAACCGAATACATTATTCAATTTTGGTAAAAATTAATTCAATAAATAAGTGTATGATAATATTAAATTTATAATTATAAATCTTTTCAGTATTCATTTTTGAAAAATCGTTGTCGAACAATAAGGGTAAATTTTTATAAATTAAAAACAGGCGATTTTAGAGAGAAATAGGAAATTTTAGAGGTCATACTGAGAAAGATATGATTCTAAGAATTTATCACAGGATTCAACACTTATCCAATTTTTTATAAAGTTTTTATATTTTAACATCGAATAATTTAATATCATCATTCTCGATCACATAAATTTAAAATGTCCACCAATATTTTTCAGTGTCCATATTTGAAGCAGGTGTGGGGAAGAGGGACTTTACATTGTAAGCGCATGGTGAGTAAAGCGGACCTCTTTCGTAATTTGGCCCAAGATAAAGATTCTTTGAAGAAATGGCAATTCTAAAATTTTAAATGGCTAAAGCTCCTGATTTAGAGAAGCAAAAAGAGAATGATACTCATATTGTAGTCAAATATAAATAATCAACAAACCCAGCAACCATGGGGATATCTATTTTAGCTTGTGAGATGTAGAAGAGAGGCTTATCATCGGCTAACTCTTTCTAGACATGTTGCGCTCAATTGGATAAATCTGTGAAAGGTGAGTGTAAAAGCTAAAATAATCCTCTGGCAAGCAATAAAACCACAAATGAATATTGAGATCATATGCCCAATCATTTTTAGTTAGTAGTGTTAGTAATGAAAATGGTAATTTGTAATTTTCTCTATGATGATTTTGGACCTCATCTATCCTATCGGACCAAATTCAGTCAGACATTCCTGATGGATTCGGTAGGGCTATGTGTTCCAAAAATTCTCATAGGCAAAGGAAGCTGGACACGTGCAAGGATACTACAGGGTTAGACTTAAAAACAAATTATAGATTCATTTATAGAAAAAAATCCCTTAAAATCTCTTATTTTTTTCGTGCGCTTATAATTTTCTAATACATACATTTCACAGAAAATGTGGATTAAAAAAAAGAAGGAAGTAGACTAGAATCAAGCGAACGTAAGAATTTTAAAAAGGGTTCTATAAATTATGATATAAAATTGAATTGGTCAGAATGATTATACTTACATATCGTCGTCGGAGAATTATAATGTTCTATATCCATTCTTTTTATAATTTTTTCACGCCAGAGTATTTATAAAAAATATTTCATGTATTTTAGATAAGAAATCACATTATAAATAATTAGTGAAGCTAACGATTATATAGGTCTTAGACCGGGGTCGATTGACAGATAGATTTTTTTGAGGACCAATCTTTTTTTTTTACTGACCTGACGGGCCTTTTATTATTATTTAAGTTTGCTTTACTATTCAATTAATATAGTTTTTTGTATATTTTATTTTATGTTATTTTTCAAGAGGAGTTATTCCAGTTATTGTGATTTGGTACATTTTTATTTTGCAATATGAAGACCATAAGTGTGTCAAAAAGCATCTTACTTACAGCCCGATAATCAAGAATTAAATTTGGTAAAAACGAAAATATTTTTAGAATAACAAAAAATATCTTTCTTAAAAACTGTGGTCTAGTCCGACCTGAGTGCCTCAGTCAGGCCCAGACCAAAGACCGGATCGTGACCTTCATTAATAATAATACAAATAAAGAATTATTCTAAATTATATTTGAACAGGTGATATGGAAGAACACAGTACTCGAGGATTAATTTAAAGAAAAAAATACAGATATAGAACACTATACAGCAGACGATATGTTGTATATTAAATGTTGAATCCTAATAAATTTGTCAGCATTCTATTATCCTTGATTGATTTTTCTAGTGACTTCAAAACTTTATATTTCAGATCTCTTCTGAAACTTCGACTAGAGGCCATAGTATCTTATCAGCGGAGGCCAAAACAATATTATGCAACAAATTTACAGAGTAAAAAAAATTTATTTAAAAAAAATTGAAAGGTTTCAAAAAAGAATTAATATATAGATTCCTGGCAGAAAAAAAAATCGATTTTTCCTTAAGAGAATATCTTTTTTATACATATACCGAGAAATTTGTGAGTTTACAAAATGAATCTCAAGCCATTTCCATAATAAAGTAGTATTCGAGATTAAGGGAAAAAAAATAGAAGGGCTGGAAATTGATTGACTTATTTAAATCGATAAATAATTTTAATGGATTAATTCTGTTTTCTAGATTCAGTGGAACGTATTCTAGTTATATCACATGCAAATAATGTTACACTTTCTTTTCTTTTTGATTAAATAAAAATAAGAAATAAACATTTAAAAGATCAATTATGAAGAAGAACAAAAATTTATCCTATTAAGATTTCAACAATTCTTAATATTTAACTGATTCAAAGCAGGTCACCCATCAATTCCAGACCTTCTCCCTAGGATCCCATAATTATGACACTAACCGGAAAAAATATTAAGTTTCATGAATGATAATTTTAAAATTTACGAATATGGCAGGTCTATTTTTATATTTTCACAATTATTAGCCATATGCGGCTTTGATTTTGAACAAGATAAAAATAATAATAAGATGCGTTGGCAGGGTAAGGGACTAGTGAAGAAACTATTTTAAATTAATTTGTAAATTTTATAGCAGTAGGATATGAATATTTCTTTTTAGTAAATATTTACATTTACATAAATATGAAAAAATGAAATAAAATAACCTCAAAAAAAAATAATTAATAAAATTACACGGGCAATAAACTCTACGTATGTTTATAAATGTATTTATTTCATAACGAAAAATTATATCCTTTAATGTAATTTTATAATATATATAAAAAAAATTGGGACATATATTATGTCAACTCTACTAATGATAAAAAATTTTAAAATTTATTTTATAAGAAACCTGAAATCATTTTTTATTCAATATATTCATAATATTTGATCGTACAATGTTAACTGACACAATTGTCTGAGGTAAAATGTTCAGTTTAAGAGAGTTTAATAAGCTTTTAAGCGAAAAATTAATAAAAAAATTTTATAGTTCAAGGCCAGTTTAGGTCACCTGATTTTTCTTATTATGTTCTTATCAACACAGATATTTTTATGAAAGATTGGCCGATCTGACATATCAAAATAGAGGATAAAAAAGGATTTATGATATAAAAATTAATAAGTAATTTCAAATGTTTTAATTGAAAGATATTATAAAAAAAATATTTTATATAATGATGTAATAGGGAGAAAGGCATAAGGCGATATCGAATCGGTATCAACTTTATCTATAGCAGATTAAATCAACCTTTAAAAGTTGGTACATCTCTCATTATACACAAGTTTAGTCTAATATCGCCCTTATTTGATCCTCAATATTCAAAAGTATTCGCTTTATTTCCACATATATTCAAATATTTTTCATTTTTGATAATAAAATTTAACAATATTTAATCATATTATTATTCGTTAGTAATACGAATATTAGATTTTTCGATTTGCATGATTTTAAATTTTCGAAACGAACAATTGAGCGTTTCAAGCGCAAATAATGCATTTCAAACATTGGCGTAGCCAGGATCTATGCAAAGGGGGGGGGGGGTATAAGCAAATTTTTACCCCCTTCGATGAACATTTATTCGCTTACACGTTGTTATTTGTGAAAATGTTTGCAATCAAATTTTCGCAAATAAACTTATAGAGAACTTTATTGATTAATTTTATATTATATAACATCCTTTAGTATTAGGGGGTGTACCATACCAATACCAGTTTTGGAGGTCTGATATTAAATTGATATCGGCCAATATGTGCACTGTTTTATTCTCTAGGTATTTTTTGTAAACCCAATAATAATACAACACAAATTCAAATGACTCTATCTAAATTTAAAAACTTCTGGAAGTTGTTTTATTTTTGCGACAGATTTAGGACAACCTAAAACCCTAATTATAAAAATATATTTTGTAATAAAAAGAAACTTTTCATTCAAGGGAGGATAATAACAATCCACGATTTGATGAGTAGTCATCCCAGGAGAATTACCGTATATTTGATTGTTTCTAATACCTATGGAAGTGAGACCCGTTTCGCCATTGCAATGTGGCTGCCGCGCATTGCCCAACCTATTTGATTCGAGCTGGGGCTTGTTAAGGCCAATATGATTTGCGGTATTATTAACGATTATCGGTTTATAACTGTTTGGAACCGGGGGTTTGATATAATATACGAAGTTATTGTTGTTAGGGCTTTGGGCATTTAAATTCGAGTCAGAAGAAACATTAGCATTATCAGCGTAATTGGGGTGACTTACAGAACTCGTGGTGATATGTTGAACGGGTTCTAAGTGAACGTGGTTATTTGTGGAGCAGGAAGGAATGAGGGAAACGTTATTGTTAATTATCCGAGCCCCGCGCAGGATGTTATGATTCGCGTGAGAACTATTCACTACCTGAAACCTGAGTCCCAGAGTCGAAGAGGTCACGATGTTATGAAGAGTGTTTGGATTTGTAGTGGTTACCGTGAATATAGGGGGTGATGCTGAGACCGCGGTCATCTAAAAAAAGGTTCATGTAAAATCTTAGTATTTTTTTATAAACTCTAAAATAAATAATGTAAACTAATTTTTAAATTATATGTAAAAATCCCTGAGGAATGAACAAAGAACTAAAGGATTTTGAAATATTTTAATTATTGATTAATTTTATTCAATCCACATTATACCATTTTATTGGAACAAAATATAATGAATGGCATTTACGGGAATATTAATTCAATAAAATTAACTATCACAAATCACATTTAATATCTATTTATGACAAAAAAAAATTGATTATTATACATAACGACAGCAGGAAAAAAATAATGAAAACTCCTATAAATCGGATATTAATAATTTTACAACATTGGTAATGTAATCGCTTATTATTATTTTCATAAATATATCATTCCTATCTATACCAATTACACAATCCAAAATAGCCAATCGGAAGTATCTAACCCAGGGTTGTGTATATGACCGCTCAAATTCAAATTATGTCTTTTAAGACAATTTTAACTTTATGTGAAATTATATTTTTTTTAAATTCTATAATTAATGATTCGCTCTCCATGACAGAGTCTTGTTATTTTTATTCAATATTATCATTTTCTTCAATATTCTTAATCAGCTTATGATATACTCTTACCAATTTTCGTTATCGAGATCTTCAATCGATTTCTTTTCTTCGTATGAATATCAAATCGACCAATTTCTTTCTGAAAAAGAAGTATAACTATGAATTGTTAGTAAGATATTATATTAGACACTTCTCGGTTCAAGGTGGGCAAAGCCCATTCCAACAAGTCGAAGCCGAAATTTTTATGAAAATTACTGCTTTCCGCATATTTTAGCAATTAAATATATCATCACTTTTACTACTGAAATTTATGTTAACTTAAAATCTCTTAATTATCATCACCTTGTAAAATGCCTAATTCTTTTATTATAGCACAGGCTTCATCAAATTCCCTACTAGTAAGCTCCCCTTATATTGGGAATTCAATAAATAACCAGGAGTGTGAGCACATGTATTTGGATTGTTTTTTCTTTTTCAAAATTATCATTTTTTTTCAGGTGGAGAAATTATAAAATTATGGTATGATCGAATTATGTGTTTTCCAAACAAAGCATATAGTTTTTTACGTAGGCCAAATTATATTCATCCCTTTGCTCTTACAACAATAAGATAGATAAATGTTAAAGATGTTTAAATTTTTCATCCAAAATATTTCTTCATTTATATTATTGGCCATTTCTTTCGGACAAATATCCAACTTCTACAGCAGAGCTGCTTTCAGAGCTTTCTTGCATATTTATATTTTCTCCTTATATATTATTGACGATGCCCATCTTGTTTAAAATAATGTACATAATGTTTATAAATTTGCAATTAGTAATTTTCTCAAACCATCTTTAGCAAAATTATTATATTTATTTATATATTGAGATTCAGTCAAATTGAAAATGGGAAAAATTCTTTAATTTTTATATTTTAAAATGAAATTCGAATATTTTAATATGAAAATCTTATATTGTAATATAAAATTATAATTAAATCGATGCTTTAATGATACAAATATATTTTAAAATAAAATGCGGCCTAATTAGATTGATAAACATGCTTTAAATACATATTAGTTAATTAAATCAATTTATTTATTCACCAATAACATTTTAGATTATTTGACCGTTTTTGATGAGGTCAAATACTCCTTCGGTCAATTGACCGACTTGCCAACTTTGATTCAGACCATGCATTTTCAATCCGGTCCTTCCCTTCTCAATTGGAAAATTTGCTGCTCATACATTCACAAAAACCTCATAAATAAGCCTATTTCTATTTGCTAATTAACATTTAAGAACGAGTAACATATTTCTAATTTAAAATGGTAGCCATCTTCCTTTGAAAGAACAATCATAGATCTCTTTTTTCTAGTGTAAATATATAACTAATATTCTCAAAATAATGGCATATATATACTTTTTAAATGGTCGAGTTATTCTATTAGATAAAATTATATTTTTTATGTGGAAGGAAATAATATAAGGGTATTTAAAAAAATGATCAGATCACTTTTATAAGGGAGCCATTTATTTTTTTATAAAAAAACACTCACCATCTGGTTCAACATTATGTAATCGAACTTATATATCCTTTTTTCATTAAACAATATAATATAAATTCAAGGTTTACATTTTTGAGAGTTATTAAAGATAAGGGGTGGGGGGGGGGGAGGGGGGGGGTTAAGATTTTAGCACCTTAACTAAATTTCCAAAAATAGAGTTAGAACCCTCCATATAATAATCAAGAAACAATCATTGTCAGTCACCTAGAAGTAATATCTATATAAAAAAAAAATTATCGGCCTAACAGGTGTTTTTTCAAAATATTTTATGTCAATTTTTTTTTTACTTATTTTTAATAAAGAATAATAATAATTTAAAAACCATGGCAATTATATTTTGATGGTAAACAAAGAACTCATCACCGTTTGTACAGGACAATAATTGTGAAAAAAACATTATCACCATTATTTTCATTTTTGTGGAAAACTGAAAATCATTTGTAGTAAATTATAAAAAATAATATAAATAAATAAAATAACATAACATAACGCTTTCATTGTATAAATTTTGTTGAATATTTTTTAATTTTATATATTTTATTTTTGAAAAAAATAATTATTCAAGTTTGATGAGTTTTTACGTTTTACTTTATTTTATTGATTTAAAAAATATATGTATAATAAAAATAGGAAAAGAAAAAAAATTAATATTATGAGAATATGATGCGTTTGACCGAGCTGAATAACCTTTTTAAAAATATTAATTCGGGCCGCGCCAACTTTTATATTTCTTAAGATGTGTGCAAAATATTGTGTTGGGTGGTCATACAAGACTTATTTTAATACAATTTCACAGGATTATACAGACCCAAACCCCCCGACCATAATTGCCCCAGGTGATATCATTATTAACCCCAGTCATTTAAAGAAAGATATCACTTAAAATTCTTTCAATATTTTTGTTAAGATCTTTTAGTAGCTTAATATTTTTAGGTAAGTATGTGCAAAATTAATTTTGTTCGGTAGTTAATAAGTTATACCGGTTTTTTGGAGTTTGGCGTATCCGGCTTATGGGCACGATGGCTGGGGGGTTTTTAAATATAGCCAGAAATTTTTTTCAAAAAAATATACGGAACGAACCGAAAAACAATTTCGAAAAAAATATACCCGGTCCGGGTCGTGTATTTTAAAACCAAATATTTTAAATCGCCATTAGATATAAAAATTAAAAATAAATATACTATATATTAAAAATATCCCGGGCCGGGTCTGAAAATATAAAACCTGGGCCAAAAAATTTTTCTAAAAAAATCTGGACCAGGCCGTGTAAATGGTATCTATTCAGGTTTCTGATTGATATATTAACTATAAAAACTTTTTTACACACCATTTTTAAAATTTAAAATTACTTGAATATTTGAACCTTAAATGAATCTACATCAATTTTATTTACATATTTTTTTTATATCATACTATTTATAAATAATTTGTCCATTTTTTGACTCTCTTGGAAAAAGCTGTAAGTTTTAAAATAAATAAAATCTTAAAATAACAGTCAAACTTTCGTGTCACTCTTTTCATATAAAAAGTTGTGGTTATTTCAATATAATACATATGTTTCGCCTTTAGCGCCGATGTCAGCCTTAATACTTTTAAGAAAAGTGTAAATTAAGGTACTCACACCTATCTTTTGATAACCTATTCATCAAATCGCCTTTGTTTTTAGGTCTATGTTTAATTTAATTCTAATATATAGTGTCCAAATTGGGGTCAGAGGAAGCCCCACATATACTTTCGTATCGTTATTTTCACTATAGTTAAACAACGGACTGGTGGGCAAAATATAAATTTTTTGAAGGCGGAATGAGCATCATGGCCGTGTCCTGGGTCGGCTTATTACATTTAGCCTTCTTTTAAGTATTGACTAAATAGCCAAAAAAAACAAAAGAAAAAAGGCAAAACCAAAATAACGAGAATAAAATATGAAAAAATAGCAATGCCACTAAATACTTAAAATAAACCAAAATAGGCTGTCCTCGATCAAATATTTAAGCCCATACTAAAAGGCAATTAAATATCCAAATTAATATATATCTATATTTTTAAAAAAATATTTTTATTTCTACAATTTAGTATATTTTACAAGATAAAGTTTTAAAAAAATATATAATAAAATAAATAGCCAAAACCAATCAAATATAATTTTAATAAAATATACAGGTGATTAAATATTTTTATGACAAAGGACTAGCGGGTAAAAGTCAGCCTATCGCAGAACTCTAATATGCATTGTAAGGAATAAAAAAAAATTCAAAATATTTTTTTCCATCTCTATAGAAAAAAAAATATTATAAAATAATTTGCGAATATCTTCATTTCCAGACCCGAAGCCCAAACAATGAGAAAAATCTCTAAGTTCGATCAAATCAATACCCTGAATCTAGCGTTGTTAAATGGCTTAATTTCGTCGATTTTTTAAAGCGGCGAAATCTTTATTACCTAAACCTTAAAAATCGCCAATAAATGTTTAAACCTTTCTGTAAATTATATTTATATCTTCTTTTATATTTTAAAAATTATATTTATAGCAAAATTCTCCAAGCTTGGTTAATTTACTCTTGCCTAAAAATCTGGAGTTTGCTGTTTATAATAAAAATCAGATAAATCTAATCATTTAAAAATATTAGCCAGGATCAATGATGACAGAAATTTTCCAGTAACATTAATGAAAATATAATGGGTTTTTTGAATAAAATTAATATATAATAGAGCTCTGAACGGATCTGTCAGTCAGTCAGCCCAACCAAAGTCAGGCCTGGTATTTGGATTTTCATACTGAACCAACCTAATTTAAAATTTTTGATTTCGTTTTTAGAAAATTTGTAAACTTTTTTTTAAAATTTTAATATAATATAACAATAAATTTGTAATTTTTTTTGCAAATTGTACTTTTTTAATCTTTTCGAGTTTTTAACTTTTAAATTTCTTTTATATTTGCAGTCATTCTCAAAATTTTTTAGGATAAAACTCTGATTTTAGCAAGAGCTTTCTTTATTTTACATTTAAATAATTCTGATTACAACAATAAAAGCCTATTATTACATTAATTACATACCAAATTTGTTAAAACATGTAGAAAACAAAATAATTTAAAATTTTGTTGATGCCCTTGTCAAAATTTATTTAAAATCGAGGATCTGACCAAGTTAAAATTCGATAGGTTCATACAATGCTAATGGATTGATTGATGAAATATTGAAAATTAAAATAATATTTCAGATAGCCAAACAATTTTTTGGCATCATTATATAAAATTTGAGTTTATCTATTACATTCAAATGAGAATATTCTTTTTGAAAATTCAAAAAAATGCTTTAAATTGATTAGTAATTTATTTCCTGCGATGCAATATTTTTTTCAAATAATAGTTATTTGAAACCAAATAATTTGATTAAATAATATTTTTTCTAGTTCATATAAAAATGTTTATATTCTTTTTAACCCAATTATTTTTTCACATTCTTTTGGGTATATTTAGTAATAATTTATTAACTACCATACAGAGCCATCCCCATGTGGGTAGAGGCAGACCATCTTTTTTCAAAAAATATTCTGGCTCCCAAATCTAGCCCCTCAAAAAAATTTTTGGCCCTCAAATGAAAATACATAAGAAAATATTATTTTATACAAATTAATAAATAAGTTGTGAAAACCTAAGCATATTATTCATTATATTTTTTTATAGAGAAATCCAAGAAAATTTAATAGGAATCATTAATTTACAATGTCGCAAAATTATTATTTTAAAGTAACTTAAATTAAATAATAATTCATTGAATATAATAAGCCAGGCATATAATATGCAAACGTCATGTCTGGCCAAAATGGAGGAGTACAAATCTTGCTTCAAAAAATATTAATAAAAAGGTACCTTTGCTACAACCACAAGTTGCATCTTGTTTTTCAAAATTGGTATAATAATATTGTTATTATTTTTAATTTTTTAATCTAATGTATTGTATAATACTTTAGTCATTTTAACGTATCTTGTAAATATATAGGTCGTGCTCTTAGGAGACTTTTAGACCAGAGGTGGACTGGTCAATTAGAAACATCTCCTATCATTTACAAGAATTTTGAAGTTATTGGTGAAGTATTATTTTAATTTCCCAATAAAACTTAATTCAGAGATTTCTACTTATAATTCAGTCAAAGCTTCTGGTCTTATCTAAATGCTTAATATAAATTACATTATAGTCATTTTTATTTATGAGGTATTAATCACAATAGATTCACTAAAAAGGTAACTATAGTCAGCAGTTACTAATATAGTGGATGCTAAAAAATATAGTTCCCACAATTAATATATTAAAAATAAAAGTGATAATTCTTTTTATTTGAAAAGAATTCAGGCTAAGAAACTTATAAAATTTAATATCATCGCTCAAAAACATCAAGGGCATATCAATGGCTTTTTATGAGGCCTCATTCTCTACACTAAAAGTTCCATCATGCACTAGAGAATTGATGAAAGATCCATAAACAAAATTTATTATTAATGGCTTATAGAAAAACTACAAAATTTAGCTTTCAATTCATTTATGTTAAATTTAAAAATAAAAATCATCATTTACAAATTTTTAATAAAAATAGACTAAAATTTCTATGAGTGCACTATTTGTTTTTATTTCAAAAAATATTGACCCCCGAAGTAAGCAGTTGCCCCAAGCTGGAATTCCTAGCTATAGCCCTTTTACAATAACTCACTTAAATATATTTGATCCAAAAATTTTCTAATTTCTATAATTCAATTTCATTTACCTATTTTCATTGGATCCACAAATGTGATGCAAGCTGATTTAGTATTAGTTAATTCTGGAAAATAGCATAATTATCAAATATTAGTAATTTAAGTTATTTAAAAATAATTACTTTTACAACATTTAAATAATTAAATATATTGATTTTTATAAATATTCCTTGTTAAATGATGAGCATAAATTATAGTTGGAACTAAAATTTATAATATTATTATAAAAAGTTTATTTTTATTTACATTTATTTAGCTTTCTAAGCCATAAATTATTTTACACAATTTATAAAATTAAATTTTGTAAACATAATATATAACTTCTGATTGCAAGGTACTTTAATATTAGAAATACTATTTTTGAACTTTTAAAGAGCATTAAAAAGAATCAGTATAGAGTAAATAGATTTAGCAAACTATATTGTTGACTATGTTTAAATTAAATAATGAGGATAAATTGATATAAATCTATTATCATTCAACTCACATTATAAGATGTTTAAAGCCCATAAAAACTTTTATTGAAATTCATAAAAAATCTATGATATAGCAATTTTGATAAAATTAAACCCCTACTAAACACATTTTAATATAATAAAAATTTTAAGATTTTCATTCAGATATAATTTTAATTAATAAAATTAAGCAATAAATTGAAAATTTCTAACTGATTTTAGAACTTTTGCAAATATGACTACAATATATATATATATAAATATATAAAAAATATCAATATTTAAATACTTTATTGCATTATATCAACAGGATTAAAAGTGAGATTTTAAAAAAATTTAAAAGGGTAAAAACCTCCGTTTATATATGAATGAATGTTAATAAAATATTTGTATTTGGTCACTTTATTCAGGTCATATTTTAATCATCAATTAATACGAAATATGTTCCATTGTCATCTGGCCTTCCTTTCAAGATCATAAATTGCAAACTACTAACTCTTTTCGGGTCACCCAATTGACTCTCCAGACGCAGTAAATATACTCCTTAACACTTCCTTAAAGTTATTCCTAAACTTTAAGCCAATTTTCAGCAAATTATTATTTAACTACGCTTTTTATTCAAAATTTTTCTCTAACCCCTAAGCTAATTAACGCCTTCCCCCCCCCATTTTCTCTAATTTAAACAAACTCGTTGTGCATAAAAACCAAATCAGAAATTATATTCAAGAGATTATAAATCTCTTCTATGTTAAATCAAGCATCTCAAAATGTGGGGGTATCGGAATTCGTTCACCGTTACTTCATATTTCCTCGTAACTATCGTATCGACACGACAGTTCTTAATAATCGACAAATGCATTCTTCCAGATAAATACCTATATTCTAACCTCGAGCTCTGATATGCTAATAAATTTCATTTGCCCATCGCCCCCCCCTCATGTCTGCAGAAAGATTGTGGTTGTCCTTTGTTTAATGATATTTTTGAATTACTATTATTGTACCTACAAACAAAAGGAATAGCCAAATCAATTAAATTTTATGGCTGAGTGGATTTAAGCCATCCCCAGCTTAAATCTCGGTCTTCATCTATTTTCCGAAGAATCTTAATTGGTCTCGTACTGTCAGATCTGAAGAAAATGGAGACCATCAATTACATGATTCTCTAAAAGCTGCAATTCTAGACATAAAGCATATCTAAGGGTGTACCGATACTACTTTTTGGAGGCCGATCCGATATTAAATTGATATTGGCCTATTACCGATCCTATATCATATCTAATTAGGTATTCAGTAAAGATACCAATGTGTTTTTAATTTTTAATATACTTTTTATTAGTATAACATTTTTAATCCAACTATACCATAACTTCAGTGGCGTCACTAAGTGAGGGCGCGCAGGGGCTGGAGCCCCCTAAAAAATTTGAATAGCCCTTCTAAAAATAAATTTTTTTGATGGCACACTGAACGATTTCTTTTATAATTCTATTAAGTAATATATAGATTTAATTTTATTATTTAAAAATTAATAAGACAATCTAAATTTTTATCAAATTAATACTATTTTAATGATTAGATTAATACATATAAATAATATTTTCACTGTGTCAGCTTGCAATCAAATTCTGTGTTAAAAATAGAATATCATTATCACTCACTAAATATTAATTTAGCATTAACATTTTAAAATTTAATTACCATGCCTCTTCCTAAAAATATTTTCAAGGTACAAATAAGTATAAGAGATTTCTTTATAAAAAGTAAGTAGATATATAATTGATACTCTATTATATATAATTGGTTATAAAATATTAGGTAAAATGCCTCTTTTACAGACGTATTTGACAGTTATATAATATATTACAGTTAATCTTTTAATAAATTTACTAATAAATGCTTTTGATAATAAATATAAGTAACAATTTGCATTCCATTCTTTAATGTCATCTATTTATTTAAAAAAATATTGTTAAAAATTAAACATCTAATTATGATCCCACAATAAATGTAATCTTATTAGATATCTTTTTTTTCTTCTCTTTTTTATGTGTTTTTAGGAAAGCTATTTTTTCCTTCTTTGTAAAACAGTTTTGAGTTGAATTTTTAATACGAATATACTTTTGATATTATTTTAGTATATAATATACATCTAGAGGTGGAACGATAATAATAAATAAAATCTTAATTGCTTTCTTCATATCACTCTGGTCCTTATTTTATAGTTAGAAAATGATTCATTTCTAATATGGCATCCTTACAGTGTAAATAACTCAAGGCCTCTCAATATATTTGCATATCTTATATTTGTCTGGCTATATAATATTATTACTCCTGCTGCTTAGAGCATTTGATTGCATAATTTAGATGAGCAATAATGGTCAACTGCCTAGTTGTTTATCATTAAAAATGCAAGATAATCTTTTAGAAATTTAATGCTCATAATAATTTTCTCGATTACTTATCTAGCTTCCAGCATGTCATCTAAGAGGAAACTCTAACTACCATATAGTTTTATAATTTGGATTGGTCGTTTATATTCTCTTCTTGAATAATTGATTTGGTTAGACCTATAAATTTTTCCTTATTAGTCGATTCTATAAAACATTGTCTAAAAATGCAAATACAATAAATGACAAAATATAAAATTTAGAATAATTGTTCACAGTTAGTAAATTATAAAAAAGTATAATAAATTAATATAAAACCCGGTCGAAAGCAATTAGGGGGAATGGGGTTTCCTCCCATAAAAAATTTCGTAGTTTAGCCCTGAGATTGTAAAAGCTAGCGATGCACCTGTATAACTTATATCATTTAAATATATTATATAATCAGTTATAATTTATATTCAATTCAATTGAAATTCTAAAAGTTTATAATAAATTATTATTATTAAAAAATAAACATAAAAATGGATTTCGATTTTAATTAATAAATGATTTTAGATTAAAAAATTTATAACATTTTATTTTTGTTAAAAATGCCATTTATTTTATCGGATCGAGGAAAATTTTATAATATTGGCCGATAACCGATGTTTTAAAATAATATTGGCCAATAACCGATATTTTAAAATGAAAGAAATATCGGTCCCATCCGATCCGATAAAAATATCGGTGCATCCCTACCGTTAACAATATAATAAAGCTCTAAGAAGTGCCAACATACCAAGCACCCTCGAGCCCTTAGGTCTTAATACTTTAGATGGTAAGAGGCCAGATTGTTTAAACTTAATTTCATGAGAAAGGGGCTCGCATGAGATTATACTTTTATAGACATATTCGCTAATAAATATTGCTAAATTTTAACAGGTATTGTTATTCATTGTGTAATTACCCAACAATATAGATAGCAGTGGTTGTTAGAGAAGGTGAGAAATACGAGCCAGAATTAACATATTTAAATTTTGATCGCAACCCTCCCCCCTCATGCGTTTGAACTTTGAAATTGAAGAGATTGAAATTAACTCAAAACTTTTATCTTGTGTTATTTTTTAAAAACTTTCCTATATATATTCAATTAAAACTTGATAAATAGAGAGATCTTTGATTACCCGCTATTTAAAATGGGAAACTCAACTATTTTGGTATATATTATATTAAATATCATTTATTATAAATATAGTATAATTATCAAATTGTCATACAAAAGTAACGTTTAACAACTGTGACTTGATTGTTAAAAATTTTTGATCACTTTCAAAACTATTTGTAAGGGATATAATCATTCAAAAAATTTGAAATTTAGATTTTTAAAATAAAATGAGTACATATAGCAAAAATATAATTATAGTATAATAAATTATGAGCATATTTGGTATATTTTTGTTTGAGAAAATAACAATACTGATTTACGTTTAAAAATTCATATTAAAACAACAATAATTTGATTTAAGTAAGAGGAATAGAAGAGTATACAATAATTTGACAAAGTTGATAAAATAACAGCAGTTTTGGTAAGAATAAACACTGTGATTTAACATGTAAAATTAAATAAAGTATTCTTATATTATATTTCTATAAAATCTCATTATAATAATTTTGTATCCAAAGTAATCCGATCAGATTATAATCTAAAAATTCATACTATTTTTTCATGGGGAAAAAAATTTGAATTTTAAATATTTATTTGATTATTAAAAATAAAATCCGAAATTTCAAAATTTATAAAAAATTTATGGATGAAATTAAAAATAGGAATGATTATTGGAAAAATTTGTTTATTTTTATATAAAATTTGAGACTTCTTTTAATAAGTAAAAAATATAAATTTAAAAAATCTATATAATAAAGGATAAGACGATCCAAAATTATAGCAACTAGCAAAAAACTTTTTATAATAAATGTATATTTTAAACAACTATTTTTAAAACAATTCCGTTAATGTTTGGTATCAAATCTACATTCTAAGAGAAAAAAAAATCTAGAAATGATTCTTTTGTTGCTAATATGGCTAAATTATAGGAATGCCTGATTAATTTGTAAATTCAAAAATAAATAAATGAGATGCAAATTTTATCGAGATTTCGAAGCTTCTTTGGCAGCTAAAATTAAAGGTTGCAAGCTTATTAGAGGTTTAGCGCAAGAAAGAAAAGGATGCTTTTACAAAAAAATAATCATAATATTTAATATCGCATTTTAAATAAATAATATCAAGGATATTTATAAGTTAGTTATATTTCTCGAGGCCTGCAGACTCGGCCCTAAGTCTAGCCTAGCTAGAGCCGGATCTTTATTTTTATAAATATACTGAGGCCGAGCTGGGCCTAAAAAATTTTTAAATACACAGGCCAGGCCTGAAAATCTTTTTTAAAAAAATACCCATGCCAGGCAATATATTTTAAAACCACATATTTTAAATCGCCATTATTATCTATAAAAATTAAAAATAAATATATTATATTTTTAAAATAATTCGGGCCAGATGTGAAAATATAAAACTCGAGCTGGTTTTTTTCTAAAAAAAATCTGGGTCGAGCCATACAAATTAGAGATTTGCAAAAGTAGGCCCGGCCCGAACAATTTTATAAAAAAAAATTCGGGTCGGGCTTGAAAAATTAGGCCCGATGTAGATCACTCAAATAGTACCTCTGCAGGTCTATGGTATTTCTAATATATTATTTTAAAAAAGAAAGGCGAGAGAATTTATTTTTAAACTTTTAATAACTGTGAAGCGTTTAGGCGTTTGTCGACGTCGACTTCCAAGCAACGATCCAAAAAATGTTGAAACAAGGGTGATTGCTTGTCTTTACTTTGTATTTCAGGTTTACCATTAGTAGCAATGAGATAAAGTGCCTATGAAAAACGCATTAATATATTTAAAAAATATATTATTCTATCTAATTGTTTATTTATTTATAAATTGTGCTTGGAGATAAACTTGGTGTTTCGGTCATCATTTTTTAACTTTAGGTAATTTAAAAAAGTTTCTATATTTTTTACATGACATATCATATTTATAACTTATAATGGTAGACTTTTAACAAGCAAAAAAATGTGTTACAAAAAAAGAAGTGTGCTACATAAACTTTAATCATCATGATTTTGCTAAAAAGAGGGGAAAGAATTATTAGGTTCGTTCATTTTATCGTATATTCATTGAATAGCTCCACTTTTTAATTAAAATGGGTTTTCTTTTTATAAATTACTGAATAGTAAATAATACTAATTTTTCATGTAAATTATTTTTTATAATTGGATATTTTAACCTTTAGCTAAGCTAAAGGTGATATCGAAAACAAGTTAACAATTATTTTTCTTAAAAATTATAATATTCTTGAATATTTTATTTTTTCAATTTATGTGATGATTACGATTTGTTTAAAAATGAATATTTATTTATTTCACAACAAATATTTAATTATAAAATTAGTATCTTAAAATATTATTTTAAAATAAAATATAAAAAGATGTGATAATATATTTTAACAATTTTATATCAGATTAATCATAAAATCATTTGTATAAATTTCAATAACATCTTTCTTTACGGTTATAACCAAAATAATAAAAGTAATCATATTTCATTTGGCTATAAATTTTTATTGCAAGGTGGCGCTTGTATTAAACAAATAAAAAAATGAATTAAGCCAGATAAAATATTTTAACTGGTAAAACAGAATTACAAAATCTTTTGGATAGGTAGTTTGAAATATGTATCAATTACCTTTTATCCATATGAAAAAAATTGATAATTTTGAACAGTTTTGTACTGAATAAAAATATTTAATAAATGCACAATGCTTATTTATGATTACCTACTAAGGTAAGTGATTACAAGTGGGATTTTTTGAACATTTTTTTAGCTCATTTTTTCTGACTTTACCCAATTAATTCAAATATTCCGCCTTTTAATAGGATAGGGAATTTCAATCATTACCTTATTTTTCTTTTTTCTATTCCGTTTCTTTTAATTACCTCTAAATCAATTCAAATAATAATTAAATTTAAACCCTGAGCGGATTTTCGTTGAGATATGGGGGTTCCCCTTCAATCATTTCAACCGCCATAATTCCAAGACTCCATATATCGACCTTAGGACCGTACCTCTTTCGGGTGACGACCTCAGGGGCCATCCAATAAGGCGTTCCTACCATGGTTGTGCGTTTGTTGTGTTCTAAGGAAATTTGAGCGCAGAAACCGAAATCGACTAGAGTAGGAATTAATTGTTTAAAAATTTTTTTAATCATCTAAAACGATTTAGTATATTGTTCATGTTTCTAAAAAAAGAGAGATGGGCCACACTTTATGATGTCCCGATATAAGAGTCGATCCGATATGATCAGAATCAAATTTGTAGAAATAGAATGAAACCAAAAATTTGTCAATAAAATAAAAGGCAAATCTGTTTTTCAAATTTTTTATTTATATATAAAATATTTCTTTAAATTAAAAATAATCATGTAAAAATGGCGGCATATTATGTTCTGGCAAAATCTAAGCCAAAAAACCCCATTATCATGGACTAAAATCTTTCAAAAGTAATTTTATAAAAATTGTACTTAATTTAACGGATCCATCCATGCCCAATAATATGTTATCACTTTTGATATCTCTGTGAATCACGTGATTTCTGTGCAAAAATTCCAAAGCGTTTAACACCTTGATAAATAATATATTTTTTAATATAGTTTGAAAGCTTTTTAACATGATTTATGTTTTTTGAAAAAACTTAACGTCATTTTGTTAGTTAATTTAAATCTTGTGTATTAGTTAGACTCGTATATTTCTTTTGCTCCTCGTTTCTCCAGACCAATTTAGGCATGATATTGCAAATTATCTGAAGAGCGATGAAGGAAAAATATAAACAATATTCGCAAAACAGGAGGCAGGATGTATTAGCCATTAAATGCTTGAAAAATCGAGGGCAAGTATATTGATTTTAAGGAATTATGAGAAAAACGAGTGGAATAAATTCGGGGTGATAAGGTTAAAAATCTTGGCGGTAAGTTTTGAGAGTAAGAAGTTGAGAAAATGTTAAAAAAGATGAAGAGAGCTAAAGCAGCAGATCCAATAATGGAAGGGGGGGGGGGGGGGGTAAAGGAAATTTGAAGGCAAAACAAACATGTGCAATTCGATTCTGTATAAAAAAACCATTTACTAGTAGGAAAAAAGGTGTGATTATTCTGGTGGACAAGGGAAAAGATCCGAGCGAAACTAGAATGAATGGAGGTGTATATGCTGTATTTCTGTGGGAAAACGGGAAAGAAATTGCTTGGAGCTGTTGAGTACAAGGCTTAAGATGATTGGTTGAGGAGTTGCGGTTAAAGTGATGGGAGCGAGGATTCGAGATAGCCGTGGCGCTTGGATGAAGAGTGGCATAAGAAAAAAAATATATTTTACAAATTGCGATGCTCAAGATGGTGGATAGTATAGAAAACCCTAAAAAAGGGTCTATTAAAATGAAGAAGATATCTTTCGTAATTTAATTTTAGAATATCTTTTGTAAATTTTGAATGATGTTTAAATAAATAATTTGGGCTGGGATTTGAGCTTGTTGGGCTTGAGACATTTTTGATCTATACTTCGAACACAATAAATTCATTAAATTTTTAATATATATATTTATATATATATAAACTTCTCTACACACGGCAGCGATTTGCCCTTCATCCATGAATGTCTCTGTTACAACGTCGGTTAAAGAACCACCAGCTAAATACTCCATAACGACCTAATAAATAAAGATGAAGCATCAAAATTAATGATCTGTTCTAAATACACTCTAATTTATAAAGCTCCCTCCTCACATATGTCTAATCGTTTATCTTTTATTTAAAATACTTTCAAGTATTTGTTTTTCTTAAATCTAATATATACACTATATTATTTATACCCATAATTCATCGCCCCCAACCAAATAGGAATCGAGATAATTGACAATATTAGGGTGTTTATTTTGCCTCATAACCAGAATTTCGTTAATAATAAGTTCCTTTTTGGGTTGTTGACTCAAGTTCATTTCTTTGATGGCTACTTCAATGCCTGTACATATTTCGATGGCTGTATAAACAGCTCCGGATGCTCTAGTAATTATTAATGTAAATGTAATTCGTTTTCATTTCATGTATTATTCATGTTTCTTTCTCATGATATTCAATTGGATGGCTTAGAAAGGCTAGCATTTTTAATGGTGGTCTGGAGTAACTGGCCTAAATGGAAATGATGATTTTCAATCAATTTATACCTATTTATGATTTTGACTTGTAAAGATTTAAAATAAATAAACATAATAAAGTTTAGAATCGAATCACAAAATCTCATTAGTCATTGTACTAGCAAATTAAAAATAGACTATGATTCAATTTTTTGTTTTAAATATAATCAAAATTTTGTTATTAATCAGATGTAGATGAGTCATTTGTTACTAAAAAAATTTTTTGACTGAATTAAAAGTATTTGGAAGAAAAATAATGTGAAGGAAAATGGTAACGCTTAACTTGGGGATTATTCAACTGAAGGAAATTATTTAATTGGATTGAATATATTTAGAATTAAACAAGTATCTGAAGTAAGGAGTTGAAATAAAGGTTAGAGACGTATGCTTTAGGGTTTTAAGGCATATAGGTTAGGGTTAAGATTAGATTTTATTAAAATTAAATGTGATTATAAATAGACGAAGAGAAATTTAAATAAATCAGATGTTGTAACGGCAATTTCTTTGAGTTGGAACATAATCAAGGAAAATGATAGATATATTTAACAAAATTATTTAGACATAAAATTAATACCCCTGTCCAATTTTTTGAATCTTGCTGTATCGTTTATTTGGATTTCCTAAAGAAACTATGCCCCTTAACATTTGTACGACTTGTTCGTCCGTCATTTTAATAGATTTTTTGCTATTGTTTCCGTAATTGTTTATCACGCAACTACTTTCCACATTTTTATCGTTATTGCAATCGTTTGCGATATGCGGTTGTTTCCCATTGATTTGTTTGGGTTGTTTAAAATTATTATCGGGTAACAACATACCATTATTTTTATTATTTGTGTTGCAATGAGAAGAATTTGGTGGTGGGAAGCTACCGAATTGGTTGAAATAAGGGGAGGACAGTTGATTACCAAGATAACTAGTGTAATCTTGGTTCTCGACGGGCTTTGTATACTTAATAAATATAAAATAGATAAATTTAGATTCAACTTGATGATACTTAATAAATATAAAATAGATAAATTTAGATTCAACTTGATGAGAAATAAAATTTTCAGAAATACTCAATGAACCCTACGACATTTCGATCACAGTAAAAGATTAAAAATTCTTTTTTTTAACGCATAATACACATTAGGCCTATTCAAAAATAATTCGAATATTCGATTCGATTCGAATAATTCGAATCTAATCGAATAATTACGAATACGAATAATAAATTATTTGTTTTATCTGAATACGAATAATCATTTATTCGATTCGAATAAAACGAATTATTCGTAATATTTAATAAATTGTTTAATAAATCTAACATTTGTCATAGGAAGAATGGGAGGATCTTATAAAAATTAAAGCTATACTATTGCCTTTATATGTAACTACAAATATGGTATGTGGGGAGAATTATCCTACTTATAATTTGGTTATACCTTATTATATTTTAATTCTTGAACATCTAAAAAATGAAAAATCTGGTTTCCATAAATCCTTTAACAATAGTTTCAAAGTAGCAGTGATAAATTGTTGGGCTATTATAATTTAACTGCCGATGATGCAATATTAACCACAATATTAGATCCCAGGCTTAAAGTAGAATATTTAAAATCAATATCTGTTGATAATGATATTGATATATCCAAGTTAATGGACAAATTTAAAGAAATTTACAATAGGTATACAGGTATTTAATTTACCCCCATTTAAATATGATTTTATTTTATAAGCTCATAATTATAACTGTCAAACATATAAGGATAAAATTCAACAAAACAGGCTCTACATTGTTTTTAAACAAAATAATATTCAACTGTGTGAAATAGATTTTTATCTGAGTGAACCAAGAGCAAAGAGTGATACTGACCTGTTAATGTGGTGGAAGGCAAATGCATATCGGATCCCCATACTCTCGAAAATGGCAAGGGATTATCTATCTATAAAAGGAACATCAACTGCTTGTGAAAGGCTTTTCTCAGTTGGAACTAATTTATTGTCAAAAAACCGCATGTCATATAAGGAAGAAAATATAAGAAAAACTCTTTGCCTTAAAAATTGGCTTAAATTATAAATTAAATTAATAATATATATTTTAATTTTGTTTATAACTTGATTATATATTATTTATTATCAGATTATTGATTACATATTATTATAATTTTTTCTGTTTAAAATCAAATTTGTAATAAAATAATTTGTCAATATATTTGAGTATGATTTATTTTATTAAAAAAATTAATTCGAATTATTCGAATCGAATACAAATAGTAGATTTTATTATTCGTACGAATTTAAATAGTAAATTATTCGATTCGTTTAAACGAATCGAATATGAATAATGCACTATTCGATTCGAATTCGTTTTTGAATAGGCCTAATACACATATAGGGATTATGATAAACCCTCTCATCCTTATATAAAATAATATATTAGGTAAACCCTCCCCCTTATAAAAAATAATATATTCGGTTTAATATTTTTTTAAATAAATGTTATATACGATAGATTTAGTACGCTCAGGTCGATCAGATATAGCTGGCGGAGTTTCATCGCAGTCATTGTAATAATTTTGATCGTTATTAGGTCTAAACTCGGAGGCATCTATAAGAGTATTGGTATCCGCGTTTGAGTCGCGTTCGTTCTTTAGAATATAAATTTATGTTTTGAAAAAATGCACAAAATTATAATTTAAAGAAAAGATTATGACAAAATATTTTTTTTAATAAATATATACAAATCGGGCTATTTATATTTATAAGCATTTATATTAATTTTTGAATGACATTGGTAAATGTGCTAAAAAGCTTAAAAAAATAGTGAAAAATCAATCATTTTTTTATAGCATTAACCGTTGAATTTGAAAAAATTAGGGTGTTATGCTTCAAAGAGCGACTGGTTATGGTGGCCTGGTTAGCGTCGACGTTTTTCAGAATTACTTTCGTGATTAATTTATCGCACAAGTAAGTGAAAGGGGCAGTGGCTTGTGATAAACCTAATTCAAATTTTTTAAAAAAATTGTTTTAAATATAATGGGGGTGGGGGGGGGGATATAAATATATCTGATTTTATATAATATAATCTGTCTTACCATTGGGGTGAGTGTGGTTATAAATATTGTTGTTATTATAGTTTCCGATGTTGCCGTTAATGTTCGTGTTGTTTGTATACGCATCACCAAAGTTACGGGAGGAATGACTGGAAGGAGAGTGCGGGTTGTAAAAATCGGTCATCATAAATTTGGCGGAAGAATAATTATCGTTATCAAGTCCGAAATGATTGCTAGTCAGCTTATCGAAATATGGTTCATTGTCCGCGCGTCTTAAGTAAGAGCTGTCATAATAATTCAAGACGTCTATGACAGCTTTATTGGGGGCAGGGGATTTAGGTTATTTGAAAATAAAAGGTAATATTATATAAGAAACGCCGAGATTATTTCGTATCCCGCATTTAAAAAAAATCATAACAGCCAAATCTTAAAATGTATAACCCATTGATATAATAATAAGGGGGAAAAAAATTAAGAAATTATACATTACTTATCATGATTGACTGATTTAATATATACCACTTAACTGCCCTTTTTTTTATCGTCACTTGATTAATATATTTTAATTATATCAATTAGACTTTTTTCCGATATTGAGTCAGGGTCAAAATACCTCTTTAACATTCACAAATTCCCCCTTTCAATCCTAATCCATAACGCCTTGGTTGAGCCGATATGAGCTCGTCCTTGAGGTTTATACAGAAAAGCAGTTAAAATCTCTAGTATTAATCGGAACAAAAAAGTTCACCCTCAGGGTTTGGCCTTTTAAATCATTCATTCTTTACTTATAAATGAGTGGTTTTAATTTTAGGAATTTATGAGCAAACCTTGGGGATTTTTCTTGCGTTCGCTGGCAGTTATATCAGACGATTTAAGAAGTCGAGTCCAAGATTCTGGCATACCCTGTTTACGTAATATACGAAAAGAAAAAGAAATAACTAGGATGAATATAAGTATTTTAGAAGATAAAAATAAGTCTAAAATTTAAGATAATTTCTAATTAAACAAAACATCTTTATATATATACCATAAAAAAAATAAGGTTTATTTTTAAAAAAATATTATATAAACGAGTCGTTTATTTTCCATCTAAATCAAAATCCCATATAAACATTATTTGTTTTATAGTGCTCTCTACTGTTCTTTTCAATGATAACAGGGTAAAGGAAACACCTTGATAGTTTTAAAAAAATATATAATTATGATCAAAGTCCGCCCATAATAAATATTCTCATGATAAAACTCAAGCGCGTAACCAGAGTCCACCCCATCGCAAATTTGCTTGTTCTCGTAAATATCAATTTATGCTAATACAATTATCCCCCCCCTTCCTCTCCCAAAATTTATACAATATAACACTATAAAGAAGAATTTGCTAAAAAAATGAGTAAAAGTTAAGAATTTTTTTAAAAAACGTCTATAATTCAAAGATTTCTAAAAAAAAGCATTTTTATAAAAATAATTGCTGGAAACCGAAAATTATTTTAATAAAAATATAATATAGCCAAAGGCCTACAATAAGTGGGCTTAAGGACATCCTAGAAATATCCGCCTAATAATCCCCCCTATAGGAAAATCTTGGATATGCCTATAATAAAATTATAGGATACAGTGAACGGTCTCTACGTTATCGTTAATTTTTTTCCCGCCTTTTATGTTTTTTATATATGAAAGCCCTTTGCAAAGCATAAGCAGTAGCGATTTGGGGCACTTCATTATTCTAAGATTCCCACAACTCAAATTGCCAATGATAAGTTTGGATATATAAAAATTGTCAATGAAAAACAAAATTTAAAAAGGAATAACTTAATTGTTTATAACATAAAAAAATACAAATACCCTAAAATTTATTATATTTAAAAGTGAAAATATAATTAAAATGTTTAAAAATAATTTTTTTTTAAGTGGTGAAAAATCTAATTATAGTATTATTTATTATCATATCCAAAAAATAAAGGTTGGAAGGGGGGAATTTTTTCTATTAAATTTAAAGGGTTGAATGAAACACCGAAATTTTTAAAAAAATCATTAAATAATGGACCTTTATTAAATTAATATATAAAAATAATTATAAAAATGTTCAATTTTTATAGGGTTAGTTTAAGTGTTTTGTTTTAAATAACTCAAAAAAAATATTATATTATAAGCGAACATTTTTTTTTGTAAAAATAAAAATGTAATTAAAAATATTAATAAAAATTGAATTTTCGATAAAATAATTTTCCTAAAAAAATAAAAATCCAATTAATCAAATCAAATTGAATTTAAAATAGTATGTAATAAATAATCTAATCTATATTGCAAATTTTGTTATCATTTATTATATACGGGGATGGTACATAGTATCTATCGTCTATTAAATTGCGAACAAATCGATCCACATAAAACACACCACATGTCTCTTAAAACAAAAATATTTACAAGTTCATAGAAAAATGGGTAATCTATATCAACACATTAATAAAAAAAAATCGATACATGGAAAAATTGGGACGCGAAGATAGGAGTTATCTGGTAATAGTATAATATCGAGTAGTAAACTAAATAAATAAAAATTAAAATATGATTTCGTTATTAATTCAGTCAGGTAATTAAAATATGTCGACCATTTGTCTGTAGAAGATTGTGGAACTGGTGTGTTATGAATTTATCCAAAAATAATATACAATATTATAAATAACACCATGAGTTTCCCCATAGTCCCCGGATCCACTAAATTTTTGCGTATAGGACTATATTCGAAATTTTTTTAATAAAGTGGTATTAGGTTCAGGTCGGTCCAGACAGGTTAACCCCTGACCCGGGTTAGGTTTATGTCCGGCATAAATATTTTAAAAAGCTTTCAATAGCTATTTTTTTATTGCACCTAAAATAAATATCGGTAAAAAAAATAAACAGTTGTATTTTAAATAATGCATTAGGAATAAAAAACAAAAAAAAATCAAGTATGAACACAAATATTACTTTTTTATACTTTTCTTAAAAAATTAATCACAAAATGACTAGAACTAGTGAACCTGTATTCGATAGAAAAATCCGGTTTGGGTTCATAAAATAAAGAATTTTCGTCGGGTAATATGAGTGTATGGTAAAAATAAAGAGTCTCGAACCTGGATCCAAACCCGAAGGTTTTTTTACGCTTTGTCGTTTAATATTTTTATAATGGATATATTAATTTGTGTTATAAATAACTAGTTACGTTTTGCAAAAAAAAACTGTAGCTGGTTACTTTTACAATTCATTCCTTATCTTATGATGTAATGTCTATGTATAAAACTTGTAGGAAGGTTTGTTAAGTCTAAGGAAACTAATTTTTGGGAAAAATTAGCTATCCTGCTTATGTAATGGCTAAATGTCGGCAATTCTTTTCACAGGCGCCTGCCAGAGAAAATCCGTTTTAAGGCGTTAAAGTTTATATTAGTTTCTTCCTTTGAGCTGTTTTTTTAGGAAATATTCCAAGGCCAAAGTGATAGTTTTTCGGCTAAAAACTTGGCTAATAATCGGTTGAAACGGCTAAAAATATAGTAATTACCCAACATACTTTTTATACACCAATTTAGAAAATAGTTTATACTTCAAGTCAAATAAGTAAAAAAAATTGATTTTGAAAAATAAATATATTATATTGTTTTGTTTATCTTATTATTTATATTTTTTTGGTGCAAATATATATTATTGGTGAGATTTTTTCAGTGCAAATAATAGTATTTAATACAATTAATTTTTTTTTATTTATTTGTATTTTTATTTAAATTCCTTTGATTTCTAAATCGCAAAAATTATTCTCTATAATAATTTTTTAAAAAATTAATTGAAATGATTAGTTATATAAATAATTTATGTACCTTTTCGAGAATGAAACTTGTAACAGTAACTAGTTACTTTTGAACATAACTTTTTAAAACACTAATAATTCACAAAAAAATATAATAAAAAATATAGGAATATAGTAAAGCATTTCAATGGCGTAATTCTCCAAACCGTTTAAAGCCAACGACTAGGGCTCTCCTGAGATTAAAATATAAAATGGCTTAATTATAAGATGTATATGTTAACTATGGGGTTAACCCCTCTACCCAAGTTACCACTCTTAAATTATATTATACCATGTGTTAGAGGGGAGAGTCCTAATTATGTGGAAATGGGAAAGGGTTCCCCATGTTTAAAGTTTTACATAAGAGCTGTGAACCCTAATGGTTCACGAATTTTAAACTTAAAAAAAAATTTATGCCAGAAACTCAATCGGAACCGACTTCTGAAAGAGGCTTAAACCCTCTTAGGGTCTATATTACCCTGAGTTCGATAGGATTTACATAAATTGGTCATTGTTTAGTCTGACGTCTCAAAATGTCCAGCTAAATAATTTTAAATCGCTGAACCCTAATGTGTTCATATACCTATTGACATGTCTGTCCTCCAAAACTAAAGGTGTTCCTTCCGTTTTTTAAATACTGTTCTAATTTTATACATATGTTTAATATTATAGAATATTATTGCTATAAACATTTTTTAAAAAAAATCAAACATGATCGCGTTCAACGTTCATTTAGAAAAATGTTGAAAACTTTCTGAATAAATTTATTTTTTAATTTCATTTTAATTTAATATTAAAAAAAAATGCTTTATATAGTTTCATTTTGATATATAAATATAATATAATTTGTATAAAAAAAATTTATTAATAATTTTTAATATATAAAAACTTTTATATATCATATAAAAATTAATTATTTATAAGATATATAAATTTGTAATCTTTTAAATTGTGTTCAAGAATTAAAATATAAAATCCTTTATAAAAATTAAAAAATAATAGTTTATAATTTCAAGGAATCATATTTTATTAACTATTTTATATCTATATATTACCGGCAATGTGTTATTTTTTCAACTTTAAGTCAATTTTTGAGCACGTTTTTTTTAATTTAAGAATCTGATTTTAACGGAAATGTATTCCAGCATGTTTAGATACCTTTCTTATGAATTTTAAATAATTTTACCATTAAATTTTAAATTATTTATAATTTATATTAAGTTCAAAAGTACATGATAAAATTATCTGAAATTTATAGGATAGGTATTCCAAACATGATAGAATACATTTTGGTAAAATTCGATTTTTAAATTTAAAAAAACATGCTCAAAATATGATTTAAAATTGAAAAAATAACACATTAATAAATATTACAATTCTCTTTAAATTCAAACTTTAAGATTTTGAAACTGATATTATAATTTTGGGCACATTTTAAATTTGGTAAGATAAAATTCGTTCCAGATGAATGGCGTTCATTATTTTTGACAATTTTAACATGCGATAAAGGAAACAGCTAATTAATTTTAAAAAAACCTACTTCATTCACGAACGCGTTCACTTATACTTATATAATATTAATATTTTATTGAAAAATAATATTATATAATTTCTAAAATTATTGTGCGCTAGCCAGTTAAAAATTAAATACTGGGTGGGTGGATGAGTTTAAAATATTTTATAGGGGAAATAGGCCAAGCTTATTTATTAAAAAATTTGTTCTTTATTTCAAAATATTGCATATTTATAGTTTAAGTATAAATATATTAATAAATACCAAAATAAATTTTAAAAAACTTAATCAACTAGTGATAATAAAAATATTTTTATATGGATATGCAATTTTTTTAAAGCATTGTGGGGGGGGGGGTACTATTTTTAAAACATTAGGCAGGCTAACTGGCATGTGGATTAAAGCACATCCATTGCAATCCTCTAGTAGAATAAAATTTGGCTAATTTGATTTTTTTCAAAAAAAAACATTAAAATTTAAAAAAAGTATATATGAAATATTAATGAAAAAAAATTTTTGTCTAAAATTTGCAAAAATATATTATCCATATAAGGACTTCTATACCTCCCCCCTCTCCTATGCCAATGATAATATACTCCCCTAAAAAAAATTACATGCCTCCTGCAAGATCAAAATTAACAAAAAAAAGAAAATTTAAATTTTCAAATGATGATAGTATTTTATAGAAACTTACCCCCCCCCCCTCTGTCAAATTATAAAATGTTAGAACTAAAATATGATAATAAATCTTTATTAAATACTTAAATATAAAGTGAAAACATAATCAAAATAAAAGAAAAATAAAATTAATATTAAATTAAATATTAAAAAAATAAAGTTCGCAAAATAATAATAATTATTACAAGTAAAATATCCTTGATTATATATACTTTTCTATCCTATTCATTTACATCGTCTTTACTCAAATAATATAATAATTCATTTTGTTTTTCTATTTAATAGTGGATTTGAATATTACTTCTTTTTTCTTTATTTTATTTCAAAGTAAATTTACATATTACAACACCCTCCAATCTCAATGACTTATATCACCACCCCTATGGTAAAGTATTTGAATAAAATTTTTTGGATGTTCTCAATGGGCAGAGGGGAATTCATCAAAAAGTTTGAGCCCCATTAAATTAAATATTGCACTATATAGCCCTTTTATAAAAAATAACCAATATTAGTGGGTTTTGAAAAGTAGAGAATATGTTAACAAAGAAAACATTTTAAATGATTTAGTATGGTAAATAAAATTTATAAATGATTTCTTATAATCATGGTATTAAATAAGATAACCCAATAGACAGGAATGCATGAAAAATATTAAATATATTGTAAAAATTAGTGCTGTAAAGTAGTTGTTAAACCTAAAAGGTTCGATCTTAAAATTTTTGATCAAAAATAATATTAAAACCCAGATTTGAAAAAATAACTAAATCAAAATTTAGGTCAATGATATATTATCTAAAAGATATAATTTGTCTGTCTAAAAAAATTGATTTTGCCAATTTTAACAACATTAAACACAAGATAAAATAACTTATATAATAAATTATTATTATTTAATCATAATATATAGGATTTCAAACTAATATTAAAGAAACTATAAATATTATACTGTAAATTCTCCAGTTAGAGAATCAAAACCAACATGGACTGTGTGCTCAAAGTCAGTTGGGTGACTTATGTAAGGTTTAGTCACATCTTTCTCTTTTTTATTTATCGCTAATAAAAATAGTATAACCATTTCATTTTATATTTATTACTTTTGTTCTTTTTCTTTTTTTCTTTCTTTTTTTCTTCAATAAAATCTTTAATATAATTAGTTTTAGTATCCAGGCATATAGATGATTGCAAATTTTCTCTTAATTTAATAAATTTATTATGTGAAATAAAAACACATACCTCATACTAGACTTTATTGTAGCATAAGGAGATATACTTTCATATTCACCCATAAAAAATTATATTTTCATTAAAAAAAACAGCATTGATAAACTTTTAATAAATGGGGCAGAGGTTACCAAACGAAAATGCGAAATGTGAAACCCAGTCAGTCATGCATGGCTAATAATAGCTCAACTCTAGGAAGGTTTATCAAAAGAATTATTTTTAAATTGTATGAAATATATTTAGGAATTTAATATAAGCAGCTAAAAGTTAGAGAGGTATGAATTATGGTTGTTAATTAAAGGTCTGAGGTTAACAAAAGAAAAGTAAAATTGCATTTATTGAATTTATTATATCTTTACATTAATCTAAAACTAACTAAAATCTATTATAAAAAAATAAGTATATATATATCTTTCATATTAAATACAAATTTGATTAAACAAAAATAAAAAGTATCAAAATATATTACAAAATTATTTTTTAACAAAAAAGCAAGGTTACTTGCAAAAATAGTCGTAAGTTTTCATCAACATATTAAATAAGTTTATATTCAAATAATACCAAATAAAGTTATATTAAATATCAAAGCAAATTTAGATATAAAAAATTAATCCCATTATTTAACATTTATTAATAAATTTAATTAACCTAAATATTAATTGTCAGATCGTCGCTCTTTTTACTAGCCAGCTACACATATATATCAATAATGTCACCAGACATATTGTATGGGAGAAGGGGTGGGAAGTAACTGAAAAAGCTAAGAAAAAATATATACCCTTACTCGATCCCTTCCTACACTTAAATTACAATTTAAGGACAACTCAACTAGAATCTCTTCTAAGAATTTAAGAACAATTATTTCGTAACAACACTATACTTTTATTATAATATTTTATTAATATGATTTCTTAATAATCAATTTTTTATAAGAAAGAAAAAAGTAATAATCTACAATTTTATTCGAACCAACAAAAAAAAATATAATCACGTGTTCTTCTATGGTAATTATAATCCAATCAACCTTATTTATTTTGGTTGATATGCAAAAATTAATATATATTCATATATAAAATTACGACATGCCACCCCTTTATGGGCCAGTGGCATGCCTATATATAAAAAAATATATATCATATTTACTATAGAGAATAGATGATGTTACGCAAATATGAGAAATTTTTTTTTTACTATGCCTCTTGATTATTCGAGACATCACTAGAATAATGAATATTCATGGTCCTACAAGGGTATGCTATATGGACCAGGGGCGTCGCTAGCCTTTACAATCTCATTGGGCTCAGTTAAAAAAAAAATTATGAGGGGCTTCGTCCCCATACCCTTAATTTGCTGGCCTTTGGCCCGCTTTTGCCAGGCCTTCGGCCGGATTTTATATTAATATATTTTACATTTTTAAAATATGCTAACTCTAGACAATTATTCTGAATTTCATATTTTGTATTTTATAATATTTTGCATACAAAATAAACTAGCATACAAATAATTGAAACAATACAATACATTTCTAAAAATAATATTTTTTAATACAAAATCTATTTATTACAGTATAAAATATTTTCTATTGCTGATATAAAAAAATTTTGCGTAAAAAATTACAAGTGATAAAAAAGGTTAATTAATTCATACATATGCCTCAATTGATAATAGTTTTTTAAAACCACATAAGGTTATATAATTCTAGCAAGTTACATTGACTAAAGGTCATGAAATTGATATAACTCTCTGTTACATTTTAGACAATGTTTTATAGAATGGACCAATAAGGAAAAATTTATTGGCCTAACCAAATCAACAATTCTTGAAGAATAAAATATAAACGACCAATCCAAATCATAAAAATATATGGTGGCTAGAGCTTCCTCTAGGATTACATGATGGAAGCTAGATAAGTAATCGAGAAAATTTTTGTGAGATATTAAATTTTTAAAAGATTTTCATTTTTAATGATATATAAACGACTACACAGTTCAGTTGACCATGCTTATCTATGCAATCATATGCTCTCAGCAGCTATAGTAATAATCTTAAATTAAATAGTCACATAAATAATAGATGCTGGTTAATTTGCAGTCATAGCCATGACACTCACGATGGTAACCCATATCAGAATTTATTATGTTAGATAAATTGATAATACAAAAACAGTAAAAATCTTTAGAAGAAATTATGCAAATATATTGAAGTTTTGAGTTATTTACACGGCAAGGATGCCATATTAGAAATGAAACATTTTGTAACTATAAAATAAGAACCAGAGTGATATGATGAAAGTAAAGATTTTATATATTATTGTCGCACCACCTCTAGTTGGTATATTATATCTTAAAATAATAGTAGATTATAATAATAACAAAAATATATTTGTATTAAAAATTTAACTCACAACTGTTTTTCAAAGAAGAAAAAAATAGCTTTCCTAATAACACGTTAAAAAAAAGAGAAGAAAAGATATCTAACATCCATTGTGGGATGAATAATAAGAAGTTTAATTTTAATAATATATTTAATAAATAGATAGCGTTAAATATATGAATGCAAATTGTTACTTATATTTATTATCAAAACCATTTATTATTAAAATTTTAAAATTATTAACTGTAATATATTATATAACTGTCAAATAGGTCTGTAAAAGTGGCATTTTACCTAATATTTTATAAATAATTATATATTATAAAGGATTATAAACTATTTATCTACTTACTTTTTATAAACTAGTAGAAAGCCCGTCAAAAATGACGGGAAATGAGATTTTTATTTATTTTTTACGATAAATGTCATGCCAGGTTCAAGCTCACAATTTTAGGAAGCATCCAAGATCTTATAATTTTTAAAAATTTTATCAAGCCCAGCTCAACCCTTAATAATTTGTAAAAGATATTCCCAAGTCAGGGGCAAGCTAATATTAATTTTGAGGTTCAAGCTCAGTCCTACCCATTATAATTTTGAAAATTTTTTCCCGCCTCAGTGATAGTTAAATTTTTAATATCATCACATGAACGGGAAATATCTGATTTACCAATGAGTCTAATATGTAAAAAAACATGTAAATTCCGTATTAAGGGAAACTGGGGAGGCCTGGGCAACCACTTATTAGAGAATCATGACAAATAAAATAAAAATAACCAACTCTTATACCTTTTTGAAATATGATCTGTTCTAGGCATATGTTTGTTTATTTATTATTATTAAAATATTATTGATTTTTTTCATGTATTGAAATATTATTATTATTGGAAATCAGTTTTTCAGTTGTTAATTTTTATTAGTTTTAAAGAAAATAAAAGTTTGAGTATAATAGTTCGAATATAATAATTCCTGAAATATTATTATTATTGATTATGGGATTTTTTTAGATTTCGGAAAATAAATATAATCTCAAAAGTGGTGCCTCCAATTTAAAAGATACCTGTATAAAAAAATAATTAATTCGGAACAACAATGACTACTATTACGAAACAGGCCAAAGATTTATAAAAAGGAAAAAGGAAATTCGTAAAAATAAGGTAAAAGTTTATATTTTTGTTAAAATTTTATGTATTATTGTATATTAGGGATTTTCGTAATAATTTCGATATTGTATATTTTAACATTTAAGTCAATTAAAATTTTTTTGATAAAGTTATTGATAAGTCTATTGTAGAGTTAAAGAATTTTAAATTTGAAAATTAAGAGTTTAAAGTAAAAATAATTTTAAGGAAATGATAAATCGCAAAAATATTAAGACCAACAATTATTTTGAGGTCAAAAATGTTGAGCCGTTAATATTGTATTTTGGAATATTATTGGTTTTTATATTATGGGTTATAATATATTTTTGGTATAAGAAAAGAAATGGAAATAAAGATATAAATCGAGTAAGAGTGTTAGAGCAAGTAGAAAGGGAGAAAAATAAAAAAAATTGAAGAATTTAAGAGGAATATTGAAAATTTATTTAATGAAATATATATGGTGAAAAATGAAAATGAAAAAAAGGAAATATTAAAAACAGATATCGTCAGAGATTCTGAAAAAAATGTATGTGAAATTGATATTAATAAAACAGATTTCGTTAGAGAGTCTGAAAAAAGAGAAAATGGAAAAATTGGAGAAAATGAAAAAAAAAAAGGAAAATGGAAAAATGGAACATAAAAAAAAGGAGATTAATATTGAAGAAATGAGAAGAGAAATGAGAAGAGAAATGAGGGAAGAATGGGAAAATGAAAGGAAAGAGATAGAAAAAAAAGAAATGGAAGAAAGGAAGAAAATGGAAAAATTGGAATTGATTAAAAAGGAAAAAGAGATGTTGAGAACAGAAATGACAGAAATGAAAATTAAAATAGAATAATTTTAAAAGAAGAATGAAGGAAAAGGAGTATATCGGAATGAGGATAATGAAAATAAAATGTGTTATAATTGTGGAAAATTTGGACATATAAGTAGAGGATGTAATGAAAGGAGAAATCCAAATGTGTTAACTATAATTTGTAAAAGGTGTGGAAATAAAGGGCATAAAACTGAGGAATGTTATGTTCCTGCGTATAAATTGGTGAATGAAATTCAAAAAGCTTGTGGAAATTGTGGAAATTTTGGGCATACTCAGGATAAATGTTTTAAGAATCAACAAGGAGAACCTAAAGCGTTTCCGGTGGTAGAATATATAAAAAATGGGGGAAAAAATGCCTATGAAAAAAGGAATGTAGAAGACGTAACATGTTTCAAATGTCGTAACATTGGGCATTATGCGAGAGATTGTCCCGTCACATGACTATATGGTGGACAGGAATTAATATGTGGGGTTACATCGGAAAACCCAGTAGACAAGGGAAAAATTTTATTATTAGGGAATGTACTAAATATTGAAAATAATTTGGGAATTGAAGAAAAGAAAAATAGTAATGAATTAGTGATGAAAAATAAGGGGAATGAGTGGCCCAGGGCGAATATACAAATTTGTGTTATGCCAGTTTCGATGAAAAAAGATATTAATTATGATGAATGTCCGCGCGTGAAAATTAATGTGGGAAATAAGGAAATTATAATGTTGTTAGATACGGGGGCAACTATATCGGTAATGGGGTATAAGGAATTTTCAAATTTATGGCCGAATGAGCAATTAATAAATGAGAAAATGATAATTAAACAGTTAAATGGAACTGTAATTTCGGTTTTAGGGAAATGAATTTACCAGTGTTAGTTAAAGGAGTAGTACAATTTTTGGATTTGTGGATAATAAAAGAAGAGGTTGGTGCGATTTTGGGATGGAATTGGATATCGAAATTTGGATTAGAAAGTAAATTTTTGAATATATTTCAAGGGAAAAAGGATGATAAAAATATTGAAGTATTGGAAACATCTGTAAAGGAGGTAGATATTAAAAATCAGGAAAATGAATTGGTGGAAATTGAAATTTTGGAGAATATTAAAGTGGAAAATATGGAAAATGATAATCAGGAAATTTGTGATAATGAAATAAATGGAATTTCGGAAATTGAAATATTAAAAATTGATGAAATTAAAAATTTGAGAAATAATTCTGAGGAAATTCAGAAGGAGGAAGTAATTATAAATGGAAAAATGGATCAGGAGGAACCTGATTATGTGAATAATAAAAATCCTATAGGTAAAATGTATGATTCAGGAATTGAGGAAAATGTTGATTTGGATATTGATAATATGCCTGTTGATGTAGAAATGGATAATATTTTGGAAACAAGTGATGAAAATTTTAATTTTGAGGTAAACAAAAGGTTGATTTCAAGGGAATCGGGGTTGGAGGATAGTTATATTAGTGGTGATGAAATTTATAAAGACTCCAATTTAGAGAGGGAGAAATTACCTGCATCACAAAATTTTCCGGTGAAATTAGTAAGGAAAAAATTTGAGCATACAAAAAAATATTTGGATATTAATCAGTCGGAGGAAAGAAAGTTTGAAAGAGATAAATATCCGGTGTTAGAGATTATACCAGCGAAATTAATAAGAAAAAAAAATTAGGATTGAAAGTGTGGTAGAAGGAGGTAAATTTTGAAGAGTTTTATAAAATTGGTGTGGTAAAAGAGATATGGGTCGCTTAGTCCACGGGAAAGAAGTAGAGAAAATTAGAAGTGAAATTGGATATATACAGATATAGGTATTTTTAATTATTTTGGTAAGTGTGTTAAATTGTATTATAAGATTGGTGGGGTAAAAGGAATATGGATGGCTTAGTCCATTTCGAGTTATGATTATTATAATATTTGTTCAATAGGGTTCATGGAAGGAAATTAAGCTGAATAAAATGGATGTTATATGTATATATATAATTGAATAGTTAGAAGTATGTAAAGGTAAAAGTAAGAATAATCTTAGTATATGAGATACATATAACTGAATATGTTGATAATTCGTTTGGTTTAACAAAAATGTATATTGCAGGTCATCTTTTGTTTTATTAAATATTTGTTCTTGGTGAAGTGAAGCATATCGTGGTTAATAGTTTTTTTTCTTGTGTTAAAAAAAACAGTTGAGAGATAAAAGGAAAAGTTGAAGAGGGAAATTATTTTATAGTAATGTAAATTGTGTTAACTATTTAAATTGATAGAATGTTGAGATAAGAAATCAATTTATTTGGTAGAAAGAAGCTAATTTATATATTAACATATGCACCGAGAAATAAAAGAGTTGATAAGAAAAAAATAAATTTAAACAACTTATGGATTATTATTGAAAAAGTGAAATGTATGCAGCAAGAGATAAAAGTTGATTTAAAGAGGTTTGGAAAGTATATGTTTTGAAATAAATAATGAGGGTGGTGAGTGGATTAAAAAATGTTATTTGTTTATCAAATTAATTGTTTATTGTGAAAATAATAATTAAATATAAGTTGGAATAAATAAGAAAAGTTAATAAGGGAGTTTGTTAGTAAAATTGAAAAATGGTAAAGTACATTTTTTTCAAAAAAAAGTTCGTGAGTCGATTAAAAAGGGGGTAGGTTTGTGAAAAATTGAAATGGTAAAATATATTAATTATTTTAAATTAATAATAAAAATAAATGGAAATTGAAAGATAGATTATTTTGTTTCAAGGAAAAAATATAATCGTTGATTATGACTGAGGAAAATTCTATTTATAATGATTGCAAGAATATTACACCAATGATTCAGAATAAGCGATAATAAGACAAACTATCCACAATGACGCGATAATCAACTTTCAAGTTCGGATGCAGCCAATCATTTAACTGCCAACTTAGTGATCTATAATACGATAACTTTAGATGATGCAAAGCAAATGATCCATTATGAAATGATGTACTAACGAAATTGCTAAAGACCACTCGACGATAAAAAAATGATGAACAATACGACACGATCAATTAATGGTGTCAACAACAATATGAAAATTGATATATTACAAAGAATAATAGTTTTTTTTTTAAAGATTTTGAATTAGTGTCCTGAGAATGCCTCTTAAAAATAAAGGAGGTGTTCTAGGCATATGTTTGTTTATTTATTATTATTAAAATATTATTGATTTTTTTCATGTATTGAAATATTATTATTATTGGAAATCAGTTTTTCAGTTGTTAATTTTTATTAGTTTTAAAGAAAATAAAAGTTTGAGTATAATAGTTCGAATATAATAATTCCTGAAATATTATTATTATTGATTATGGGATTTTTTTAGATTTTGGAAAATAAATATAATCTCAAAATGATCAATTAAAATTATATCTAAAAAATAAATTGTTGTTTATTATATAGGGTTATTGTTGTTTTACAGATAAATTTAATGTATGTCTTGCATTTCCGAAATTATTTGTCAAAGAATTTGATAAGGGATATATATTTTTATGTTAAGTAAAAAAAATGCTATCTATTTAAATTACAAAAATGCCATTAAACACTAATGAAACTAATATGCAAATTATTTATATATTTTTTAAGATATTTTTTTTTATTGACATATAAATTTAGGATAATTTTTTTAAAAAATAATGAGGATTAATTATTATGTATTTGATAAAATTAAGAGCAAATCCTTGTTGTATTTTTGATGGAAAAAGCGACAAAATTGAACTGTTGTTAATCCTATGAAAGTATTAAATTTGCTATCAAATATATATTTAATTTACCATTTTCATCCATATTATATATATCACCTGGGAGAAAGTTATTTTACCATGAAACAGTCAAATAATTATTAAAAAATAATTCAACCATTTTCATATTGAAATTGGTGGCCCTGGCTATACTTGTGGCCTCTGGTGCTCTCAAAGATATTGTTGGATTTCTTTTAATAAATGCTCCAAACCAGTCTTCACCAGCTGACTGAGTAATTTCCCAAGATATTGGTACTTTTAAACTACACTTCTTAGCCATTTGATATGCTAAAACTCTAACCTACATTTAAACATAAGATATTAAATTATTTATATATTAAGGCAATCTCGTTAAAATCCTAATTCGTAAATTTTATTCTGAATTTATTTTAGAATTAATATATACAATCTTCTGCTAAAATGATTTAAAATATATCATACATAATTAAATCTTTAATGTATAGGTAAGAACCTAATTATGCTTTAATGCATGATATAATTTAATGCTTAATCAATGAATATAAATCATTTTATAATTAATATAAACATGGCAGCATCATTTCATTTAAATATATATCACACACACATAATTACACATCATTCTAATGCTTATGTTAAATTCTTACTTAAAGTATTTTAATATTAATAAAGATGTTTCATTAACATATAATGAATTTAATAATTAAAAAAATTATATTAATTTGTTCTCAGGTTTATTGTTTTAACAAAATTCATTTTAAAGAAAATTTGTATGATATAAAATTAAGAATTAAAATACTTGTTTAGGGCATAATCCTGAGAATAATCTTTATCCTTTAATTAAATAATCTGTTAATTTAGCTTCTTGAATTTGAGAAAATACTGATCTGTGAACATATCGCTCTTGAAAATCTTCATTCCTTTTGAACAATTTTTGATACCTCTTAATACTTAGTTTAGTTTCTTTAAATATATTAATTTAATAGAAAATTTAAGTTATAGGATCATCTGTTTGTATAAAATAAATAAATAAAATCAACGAATAAAAAATAAATACGTACGGATGACATGATGTACGACGACATGACGTCACGATGACGTAGTGAGGACATCAAATTAAATCTATATATTACTCAATAGAATTATAAAAGAAATCGTTCAGGAGGCAATTAAAAAAATTTATTTTTAGTTCAAGAGGATATTAAGGAGCAATTTTTAAAAATAATTTTGCTTCAGGAGGCTATTCAAATTTTTCAGGGGGCTCGAGCCCCTGCGCACCCCCTCCTAGCGACCCCACTAATATGGACATCATCATATAACTTGTTAGGATAGTACTTGGCTAATATGAATTCTCATAACATCAATGGAATACTAATTATTCATGGTCCTACAAAGGTATGCTATAGGGATATCATATACATCTGCTAATACGAGTTCCCTATCCTATCATATTCATAGCGTGCAAAGGTTTGATCTTCATTTGTCTTACGTCCTATGTATGTCATCTCGATGGTCATCAGGTGATTGTGATTTGTTAATTTGGATACTTGAAACGACACAAAAAAAAAATTTTTTTTCGTGATTATAGAAAGAATAAATTCAGTACAAAACTTCTTTTTTTTTAAATATAATTTTCAAATTACAATTTTGGGGAAAAAAATAATCCAACAACTTATGCCATACTCTCTCCATAAACATTAATTACA